TTGAACTCTGTGAAGCTTTTATTTGGGCTGCAATTTCTGAGGCTGGTAACTCAAATGAACTTATCCTCTGCAGCAGAGGTAACTCTGGGTCTTCCATTCCTGTGGCGGTCCTCATGAGAGCCAGTTTCATCATAGCTCTTGATGGTTTTTACGACTGCACTTGAAGAAACTTCCAATGTTCTTGAAATGTTCCGTATTGACTGACCTTCATGTATTAAAGTAATGATGGACTGTTGTTTCTCTTTGCTTATTTGAGCTGTTCTTGCCATAATATGGACTTGGTATTTTACCAATTAGGGTTATCTTCTGTATACCCTGTATATATCATGCTTTCTGGCACCAAAAGTTTAAAAAGTGTTGATGGGGGACAATGCGGTCTGACCATCAAAGAATTGGCATATACATTACTCTTACAGAATTTCCAGGTGGGTGAGAATATTGGACATTTAATCAAAGCCTATTGGATGACAACTTGTTTTTAAGCAGAATAATTTATAACTTACTTTTTTCCGACCATATAGGTAGAGCAGATCCCCTTATTGTATGGGACACTTTTAAATGTGCCTTTAGAGGCCATGCAATTCAATACTCATCTTTAAAACAAACGCAATGTAGGTCAAAGTAATTCATATTAACAAAGGAAATAGAGGGACTAACAGTACAGATTTTGTAATGGGTACATTTTGTTTTGAAGCTCATTTCCTGCAAGTTTACATAATTTAACAAGACTTGTGACATCTTTTAGGTATTTACAGTTTTTTTTCAATTGCTTACACACTAACATTAACTTTCCCACAATTAGCAAAACGTTACACTCAAGGTGCAAAACACCGGCCTAGATTTGCACAACTGTAAGCACATTGTCAGCTTCACACTTTTTGCAAAACATTACTACACACAGTGATTTGCAAAACACTAAACACACTTGTAAGCATTTGACACAGAAATGTATCATGATGTCATTTCCTTGCAATTTCAAAGCAAAGGCTTTCAAATGGACACACCCATGAACCAATTGGTTAAACACAGCCACCAGGTGTGCACACCCTCTGGTGCTTAATTGTAGACACACCAATCAGGTTTAAGCACTATAAAAAGGCAACAGGTAAGTTCACCTGTCTTTTAAAAAAAAATGGACGGTGTCAGAGGAAGAGGAAGAGGGAGAGGAAGACCTGGAGGAGGGGTAGGACATGCACAAAGAAGAAGACAACCAAATCTGTGTAACGAAATTCGTGCTACAATTATGGACCATGTAATAAGCCACGGACTAACACTGAGGGAGGCTGGACTGAGAGTACAGCCAACCTAAGCAGGTACACGGTGGCATCAATAGTTCAGACATTTCGTCAAGAGCACAGGTGATAAACTTATCTTCTGTCAACAGAAAATCCATAGCTTACTGCATGTACTATATCAACAGTTTTGGTATCTATTCCTGTATCATTTTACAGTAAGCTACATGTATTTTGTTTGGCCAATATAGGATTGAACATCGAGAACACCAAGGAGGGAGGGGCCCCATATTCACACAGGAGCAAGAGAGAGATCATAAACCTAGTTTTGGCTAATAATGCAATCAGACTTAGAGAAATTCAAGCCCATATTGTCAATGATCACCAAATTTTCAACAATGTCCAACAGGTCTCTCTGTCAACAATAGCCTGTATCCTTAAAAAACAAAGTTCTGATGAATCAACTGTATAAAGTGCCATTTGAAAGAAATTCAGACAGGGAGAAAGGCCTGCGGCGTGAATATGTGGTGGTACGTTTTGTTCACTGACTGTAGTATTGTGTACTGCACACACAACCTTTTTACTGTACATGTACTTTTACTGTATAGCAGACCTACAGTAAATTGATCTACACAATGTGATCTTTTGCTGTATTTCAGAGTTTTGCAAATGGATGCGGAGGAAGTCCCTCATGAGTTTATATACATTGATGAGGCTGGATTTAACCTGACAACAGTGAGAAGAAGGGGAAGAAACATCATTGGCCACAGGGCTATTGTCAATGTACCAGGGCAACGTGGGGGTAACATTACCCTTTGTGCTGCCATTACACAGAATGGGGTCCTCCACCTTTATGCCAATTTGGGTCCTTACAACACTGACCTCATTCTTACATTTTTAGACAGATTACACAATATTATCCCAGCAGCAAACAAAAGGGACCAGATGCAATACATTGTCGTCTGGGACAATGTAGCTTTCCATCGTTCTGCTCTGGTCCAAAACAGGTTTCATCAACACCCACAATTTACAGTTCAATACCTTCCACCATACTCCCCCTTCCTAAACCCCATCGAGGAGTTCTTCTCAGCATGGCGGTGGAAGGTTTATGATCTCCGGCCCTATGTCCAGATGGCCCTCATTCAAGCTATGGTGGAAGCATGTGATCAAATTTAAAGCAGCATCCATACAAGGGTGGATTCGTCACTCCAAAAGATTCTTCCCACGTTGCCTTGCAAATGAAAATATAGCCTGTGATGTTGACGAGGCCCTGTGGCCAGATCCAGCTAGGCGGAGAGATGTTTAGGTTATTTTATCTTTTTTTTATTCGGTACTGAACTGGAAATGTAATTTGTTACAGTATTACTGTAAGCTTACAGTACAATGGTACGTTCAGTAATACTGTATGAAAACTGGAAAATGTTTTGTTGAAATGTTCAGTATTGACTGACTTGAGTACATGGAAAAATAAATGCATATTTTCATTAGTCTGCACAATTGGTGTGTTGGTGAATTTATTTTTACACTTTCTCTATGTAAATGCTAAAAGTGTTTTAGGTTGAGCACAGGAGTGTTTAACTGATTCAAACAGAATCAGACCATATGATGGTTGGGTTTATGTTATGACAACAAAATAAGGTTTTTATAAGACATTGTATAGTTTTGACAAAAGTGTTCCATTTTGCAAATTATCTGAGGTGTTGTGCTAATTGTGTGAAGGGGTTTGAAAAACCGGGCCCTGTTTTCAAAATTGTGCTTAAGCAATTTTTAAAAAACGGTAATAATAATTCTAGACCCGATTTTCCCCAAATCTTACCAAATATGTGTTATGATAATTTATATGAACCATCAATTTAATTATACATATTGTTTTTTCATAGAAAGTGAATAGACCTAGATCAATTGATAGCGACAGTCAAACATTGTGTAAGATTACTTCCCAAGCAAAGTCCAATTTCTCTGACTCCTTGACTTTAGAAGGTTGTAGCTCAGAGAGAACCAAAGATATTCCCATGTGCATCAGTCGCGTCTTCCTCTGGCATTTTACCGCTTGTTTCTAGCCTAAAGCATCACGTATTTATGCGTTGTTTTAGATCGGTATCAAAGTTTTTATGACATTTTTACCCCTCAAATCAAGGAAAGTCCCCCCCCCCCCCCCCCCCCCCACAAAACGTTGGGAACCCGTGGACTAGTCTATCCTCACTGATTGCTCTGCAATCTTAACAAACTCAAAGCAGAATCTAATTTGACCTACTCTAACTAGTGTAGAATGTTTAGATGATAGTCGCACAAAGTTAATTTTCACCCTCCCTTAGTCACGATGACACAGTAGGTAGCCATTGTTCTTCATCACAAGCCCCCTCCATCCACTTCACTCCCTTACTGTTTCTGTCATTCTGCTGTCTCACTTCCCCAATGATCTCTCCCTCTTATCTCCCTCCCTCTCTACCCCTCTCCTTTTGTGCTGTTTTATTGCCCAGCCGTTGGTTGCCAGTGGTGGACAAAGCCGTTCTCTCACATTATACGAGGAGTGAATGTGGACACTGATGTTTGAGTTGGGACCAAGCCCAGAGTCCATGGTCCGCTTCACACCCCCCTTCTGACCTTCTCTTGTTTGACCTTTCTAACCTGGTGTTTCTGTAGTCTGTCGCTTGCCCTCCTCTTCTCTGTCTGTTTTTGAGCACTCTCTCCTCACACATGGAAAGCCTACTCTCTATGTTGCCTGACAGTCAAAGTGTCAGTTGGAGTTATAGGCCTCACATGTTGCAATACTATTGAAATCTCCTCATGAGAATCTTATGGGACTCTTGTGTAAGTGTGTGTACGTACACATGCACCTGCCACTGACCAAGAAACATCTTCTGGCTAGTCTGAAACTCGCTTTCATACACTCTTTCAAATCAATGTTTAGGATCAGCCCTGACAGTGTTCCGTCAAGCGTCTGTGTCTACGGAATGACTCCAGTGGATGCGGGGGCTAGCCCTGATGTCGTCACCCCTTTGCACAACAAGCAGGCCTTTTGTCCCAGCTTTACCCCTATCCTCCCACACAATGCTCATAATGTCCCGGCCTCTTTATCTGAGGCAAAGGTAGGGAGAGAAAGAGGGTCCTTTGTCGTGGACTCAAAGGTCTGTTAATAACTCCAATTACTTCAGTCGGAAATTATGACAGCTTCACCATGCTACAGCAATGTATACAGTATTACGCCCCCACACAAGTTTTACATTGAACTGCATGTCTTAATCTTTCACTAGTCTTTGAGTTGGCGAGCTGAAATCCGTATTACAATTTTAACCACCAGGAGATGTCAGTGAGTTAGTTTGCTGGCTGCTTGGTCTTTGGGTTAAATATTGCTCACCCCAGCTCCTCAGAGTATCTGGTTGTTGTGTTGATGACTGAGCTCTAGGTCTGTACTGTAAATTAAACCGTGTTCTGAGTGGGGTAACTTCTGTGAAATGAATGAATAACTTAAGTAGGGCTAATAATTCTCAGCTCTGAGTTTGTGGAGGCAAAAGAAAGAAAGGCTTGGGAAAATGGCAGAGGCTTACCAGATGTGAATGAAGAGCGAGGGAGGAGAAAAAAGGAGGGAGAGGGGGATGGTAGAGTGGGTGACAGAGGGAAACTGATCAGATGGAAAGGGATAAAGGAGGCAGGGTTGAAGTTTGTCAAACAATCCCGAGTGTAGCGAGTACCAGGTAGCAGAGAGACAGGAAAGGCTTTCTAACACTACACTGCAACTCTTCATTACCCCCTCTCTCCTCCCTCCAGGCTGTCCTCCATCTATCCCCTTCCCCTCCTCCTCTGTCCCGGCCCCTGGGCCAGGGAATGTGCCGGATTGGAGATGCCTTACGTGGATCGGCAGAACCGGATCTGTGGCTTCCTGGACATCGAGGAAAACGAGAGCAGTGGGAAGTTCCTGCGCCGCTACTTCATCCTAGACACCCAGCCGGGCAGCCTGGTGTGGTACATGGACAACCCTCAGGTAACACAGTAGGACTGATGGCTAGCATTAGCTTGGTCATTCTCACAAAACTGACATTTTACAAAATAATTCTCGTGTCATTTTTCACAATGTCCTCTTGGATCACTGAGATTAGCATATGTACTTATCTATTTCATAATTATTATTTTTAATTATTTTAATTATGTTTTTTTATCAGATATTATGCATTTGACCACAATTTCCACAAAATTATCATTCCCTGCAGCAGTCAAAAAAAGTAATAAACAAATCAATTTAAAATATTTTTTTACATTGCTCCCGTAATGAAAAGGCCTGAGTTAAACATAAAACCAAATAAAATAAAACCATTATTATAACATGACATTCCCCAACTTTAGCTTTTTTGCCATTTCGGTAATGAGAAGGCCAAGTGGGGTAAAGGGGGTGTTTGAGAATAAGAACCTAATTCTGAAGGCATAAAAGCGAATAAAATAACTTCTACTACTCCTCTAGATCAGTGTTTCCCAAACTCAGTCCTCGGGACCCCAAGGGGTGCACAGTTAGGTTTTTGCCCAAGCACTACACAGATGATTCAACTAATCATCAAGCTTTGACTAGTTGAATCAGCTGTGTAGTGCTAGGGCAGAAACCTAAATGTGCACCCCTTGGGGTCCCCAGGACCGAGTTTGGGAAACGCTGCTCTATATGATGCATCATGGGTGAATAAAACTTTATTTAAAAACTGATTGGCATTTTTACAGGAACTTGAAAAAGTGTTACGGTAATGAGACATGTCCTCAGACAGTGTTTGTACCAGGGTTTCCATTAGCCGGTAATAAAAATGATAACCAATAAATAAAACTGCCGCCGGCCAATTGTCCGCTAGAAGGAAAAAAATCCCATTGCAAAATAATGTTTTTTAGCCTATTCATTGATGGAAATATCAGTCGATGGAAATACATTTGACCGGTCATGCTTATCTGTCTATAGGTTAATTTGCATAATTTCATGGAATTAAATTGGCACGTGTGTATTTTCGTTAGTCATTATGTTTATCACACGCCCACAGCATACAGATACAGAGTCAATGAGCGGAAAATTGCAGACAGCGAGAAAGCTGCTGCTACAGCTTCTCAAACAGCTCATTTGTTGCTGCTGGAGTGAAACTCACTTTTAAAAGCCCGATCATTGCGTAACAATTCTAAATGCAATTGCGTGTTAAAAACAGTTTTGATGGCCACGATTTAGAAAGAGCTACTATTTTTATTTCTCAATTGGTAGGCTAATTGAAGCGCGCTTCCCATTTGCCATTCAAGTGCATATAGGCAACGTTAGGCAGCATTCAGCGCATCACACACCACTTTGCATTGAGCTGGAGGCAGTATGCATTTTGAAAAAATATACTTAATTGTCTGAAACCTGAACGTTTTACTTCATTTTATGAGACTTGTCTTACCTTACTTCAACGTAAAACCGACCATAGAAATATGGAGGCAATTATTTTATAAAGATTTCCTTCCACATGCCATTGAAACCAGTAGCCTATTTCTCTCAATCCTAGTCATATTAGCAACCCATGCTAGTTGTTGCGTCTTTAGATCTCCCCTCTTTCTACATTTCTAACAGATATTTTCATCTCTGTCACATGAAACCGCTTATATGTGCAGTGTGCTTTTGACAACAGTGTTTTCCTGCTAATTGCATTATGGAAGGAACATTCACACATAGTCTACTGCCTTGTGCTCATTGCTGTGCTTATAACGTGAAGAAATAAGTTGATCAACATTTTCAGCAAAACGTGCTGATCTGTTGCATCAGCCTCATTGCTTTTTAAAGTTTGTTTTTGATGTAGCCTAGGCCTACTGCTTGTATGAATATGGGATCTATCGTCCCACAACTGTCCCAGAGTCTGTTTGGAATAAGTTATTTATTTCTTGCACAGCTTGACAAGGTACACTTTTCTACTATGGGGGATTGACATAGGCTAGAGATTTTGCTGTTCATTACTTGTCTTGTTGGCTGAGGAAAAGTAAATGTGGCAGTTATTCTAACATCTTCAAAGTGCGCAATGGAATTCGGAAAGAAGGACGCACGCAGTTGCATCCTCGAATTGCATGTTCTGTTAAGATGAATAACCATAATCTAAATGTGATTTCTGTCAATTTGAGCACCGTGGGTGGATGCATATGCATATTTCCATTGCACTGACACTCCACAAACAAGAAACACATCTTAGAGTTAAAAATTCTGTTAGTGCTTATAAATTGAACCTGCTAAAAAATGTTGTACTTGTATTAGATTATTAACAATGGAATAGGAACCTTGAATTGATTACTCGAGTACTCGCACCCATCCCTAGTTACTGGTGTGGTACATGGACAACCCTCAGGTGACAGATGCGGATGTGTAAGGTCTGACCACTATGTTTTTACTCAAACCTAAAACCACTGTTGTTCTCATTATCAGTTGAAGTCCCCCCCCCCCCCCCAACCACCAAGTGTTTCTTCTTTAGAATACCCCAAATACATAATATGAGAACACCCCGTATATTATAAGGTCATGGTTTGCAACAATGGACAATATTCAATGATATCTAATAGTTCATCACCCACATTTTCCCCTTGTAGAACCTGCCCATCAGTGCGGACTGTGTTGGCTCACTCAAACTCACCTACATCTCCAAGGTAAGAGATTTGCTGAAGAATTTACATATAATTGATTTTATACTGCGTCTTGGTAGGTGCTTGTTGAAAAAGGGATATTAAGTACATTCACTGTGAGTGATCATTAACTGTGGTTTTTGTACTTGTCTTGCCTCGTAGGTCAGCGATGCCACTAAGCAGAGACCAAAGGCAGAGTTTTGCTTCGGTAAGATTGAGGACAACTATTCTCTTTCCTCTCAGTTCCTCTGCTCAATTAATATGGAAATGGTTGTAACTTGGCTCCACTTTTCAAGACCTTCAGTATTTATAAACTAATTCTGAACCACAGCTATAGATATACAGAGTTCGGCAAACGTAGTTTCTAGATTTAGAATGTTAGTGGACACCAAAAGTTCCATTATTTATATGGACATGGGCTATTTTTCCCAGTTGCATGAGCTGAATTGGCTAAATGACTAAATAATATGGGGGTAGGTGAGTCCATGTTTCTGTCCAGCAATAAATCCAGCTTTTTTTCAGGATTGACATGACAGTGACATCTCAAAGAGCCAGAATTTCTCAGTTCAAGGTCTGCCCTGACAGATGCCACCATGTACACAAGGCTGGGGTGTTTAGATTGACTTGAACCTGAGGGAGGAATGCATCCTTCTTGCCCTTCTCTTACCTCTATCACCTCAGCTTGCTTTTCCAGTGGCTAGTCTCCATGCTATGGACAACCCTGCATAGCTTCAGCTGTTTGGCCAACAGAGACATGCAGGGTAGCAGCTGATCAGGATACTGTACATCAGGGGTCAGCAACAGGCGTAGTTGTTGGTTAAAAAAGACAGGAAAATCACCAGGAATTCAGCCAGAAATTAGTTAAATTTAGGAAATCTGTTCCCAAGTACTCCCGCAAACAAAAAACAGACATAGGCCTATGTGATCATGTCTCAATGTAATAAAAGGTATGAAATTATTATTTTCAAATACAATCTCTTTTTGGGCTTAGCTGTGTGTGTGTCAACATTCCCCCCTTTGCCCTCAATAGCAGGAAACACTAGTGTGTGACAGGTCTGCCCCCATCATCACCACACCGTGTGTGTTGGGGTTTTGACAGGATGCTGGCATCCAAATCGGAACCCATTCTGGGGTATTTTTAAACCACTGTTTGCATGCCATGTTTAGTTGATTTCCACATTTATTACCATTGCACCCCTTCCTAACTCCCATGTCTTTAAAAGTAGCTCTTAATTGGTGTTTTCAGGAAAAGCCATTTGGGAAAGGCTGTCATACTTCCAGATGGGCTTACAGTAAAACAAGGATCAGAGTGGCAAGCAATGATTCATGTCCATGTGTGTGTGGCTCTGATGCTGCTGCCCAGCTGTGTGACTCAACACACATGTTTTGTGTGTGATCGCAGCTGTGAGTCAGATCTTAGATATCCCCCTCCCAGCTTATTATTCACTTCCTTTGAAAGCCCCCACCACTCTTGGTCTACACACCCCTTCAGCCAGACTGTGATACAGTTTATAGTGGGGTAAATTGTACGTGCTAACGTGGCATACACTCCCGTTAGATAATACGATTTTGGTTTCTTCTGGTTTCACTGCTGTCACTTTTGGATTCATTTATAGCTTCATCTTTATTTTTTCCATGATCTCATTGTCTCAGTAGCCTATGTTTAACAAAATGCCCATGGCATGCCTGCCTCTTACTGATCATCTCCCACTCATTGAGTCACTCATTCATTCCACACCATTAATGTTCAATCAATGGTCAGGATCCATCTGCTTTCAGTTTCCATCACTGTGGTTTTTGTGTGGTCAGAACAAGTGGCACTTAGGGATGGACATGGTTATTCGAATATCCGAACTGACGTTGGTATTCGAATACTTGCAAGAGTATTAATTTCTGAAGAAAAAAACCTCAAAGGCCTATTTTAACAATGAAAAGGCTTTGTCTAAATTAAATGATCTATGTGACATTGCTACACACAATGATATACCATGACATTTGAAATTCTTAATTCAATAAAACAAACTTTAGAATGTAGTTTTTATGACATGCGCCCCATAAAAAGACATAAGCCTACCAGAGTAGCCTACACCGGTTTCACACGTTTGTTGTTATTGTCGGCCAATAAAAGTGACGCTGTCTACTGTCAGTGGCTCTGTGTAGCAAGCAACGTGGTAGATCTCTAATTAATAGTCTAATAAAAAGCATGAGCTGGCGCACACCCAGAGAACGTAGAGGTGCTGACCAACGGAGAATAAACTGTAAGCTATAAAAACAAATAAAGAGAGTCGCACACTCTATGTATAAACTCCCAGTAATTGATTGGGTAAGAAACCACCAACGTTTCGGCATCACTGTGACTTCTTCAGGTTTCTTACCCAATAAATTACTGGGAGTTTATACATAGTGTGCGACTCTCTTTATTTGTTTTTATAGCTCTCTAATTAATGCAAGAAGGAATACAAATTACGGAATTAAATGAGTTATATAAGAAGGAGTAGGCTACAACGAGGAACCATCAGGTAGGCTGTTTAATTTGAATGGAATTGTTGTAGACAAGGACGGGAAGCGCAGCACAATACCCTCAATTAGCCTAGGTAGCGAGCTAGCTAGCTGGCTAACATAGCTGTTTATCTTATCTAGCTTCTTTACATCGATTTGATGCGGTCAAGACAGGCACTACCAGATGGAATGACAACCTATGGCATGTACAAGTTTGTCTAGCTAGCGCGAGTCTGTTTTGCCCCTGTGGTCACTTGTGCAAGCAACACACACATACACATGCACACGCACATATAGAAACTTAGAAGAATTATGGCCATTGTCACAAAGTTCTAGTGCTTAAAGCTATTTGCTGCACCACCACCCAGGCTATAATGTAATTTAACCCAATGATCTGAAAGGGAGAGCAGGAAAGTAAAGTAAAGGAAGGGAGGGATGAAATAATTAAGAGACAAAGAAAGATGGCGACAGGAGCACTCTCCATGCCAGAATCACTGGTTCAGAGCTAATCAGGCTTTGACCTAAAACCTCTGTGTTTGGTGTGTGTAATTTGTAATAGCCTTGAGCCCCTTTTTGTTAACATATTGGTGGAAGGTCACTAGAATGGGCTGCTGATTGCCTTGATGCAATTCTCCACTCTCATATAATGGACCCAATGCTCCTGCTACACCTCCCGAGTGGTGCAGTGGTCTAAGGCACTGCATCGCAGTGCTAGCTGTGCCACTAGAGATCCTGGTTAGAATCCAGGCTCTGTCGTAGCTGGCCGCGACCGGGAGACCCATGGGGCGGCGCACAATTGGCCCAGCGTCGTCCAGGGTAGGGGAGGGAATGGCCGGCAGGGATGTAGCTCAGTTGGTAGAGCATGGCGTTTGCAACGCCAGGGTTGTGGGTTCGATTCCCACGGGGAGCCAGTATGAAAAAAAATATATAATAATAATAATGTATGCACTCACTAACTGTAAGTTCCTCTGGATAAGAGCGTCTGCTAAATGACGTAAATGTAAATGTATGCCTTGTCCGATTAGTAACAGCAGACTATCCAACCTAGTCTCAGAGCATTTCCTATTATTTTTGCTATATATTTTTTTCTCTTTGAATTGGGTCACTCACCATTAGGCCTATTTTCGATGTCTTCCATCTTCTCTTTATTGGTCTTCCTCTTTCTCAGTCATCAACGCTGGCATGAGGAAATTCTTCCTCCAGGCCAATGATCAGCAGGACCTGGTGGACTGGGTGAACGCTCTCAACAAGGCCACCAAAATCACTGTGAGTCTCACTAAATGCTGCACTGTCTTTTATTACTGAGGACCTGTTTCACACACCAGAAGACATAGCCTAGTCCTCTTTAGAAAACGATGACTTCCTGTTAATGACAGAAATATTTCCTGGTAAAGTGAGTAAAATCTCAAGATTTCACTCGTGTGTGTGAGTCAAGAGGGTGACTGGCAGGGTGGTTATTGCTAGGAGAGACCTTTCTGGGCGTCCGGTAGCCTAGTGGTTAGAACGTTGGGCAAGTAACCGAAAGGTCGCGAATACCCGAGCCGACAAGGTGAAATATCTGCCGCTGTGCCCTTGAGCAAGGCACTTAACCCTAATTTGCTCCAGGGGCGCAGTAAACAACAACAAATTTCACTGCATGTGAAAATGTATGTGACAACAAAACATCTTATTTATTTTTGCCCTTGGTCTAGGGGAGCTGTGGAGTACTCCCACTCAACTCTTGGGATCCCTGCTAACCCACACACTCCAACCTCAGAAAGGGCTAGAAACAGGAGTAATCGGTAAAAGTAGTCAAACAGGAGGAATCAAGGTCTCCTGTACATGTTATGAATGTTTTTCACACCATTGTCTCTTGCAGGTGCCAAAGTCCTGTGATGGCCAACAGAATGTGGAGACCCAGAAAGCCCTTCTGGACAACCTGGGACCCAAGAAGCAGGTCTCATACAGGACTGACATCATCGGGGGAGTTCCCATCATAACCCAGATGCAGGTAGCCAAGGCTAGCCCCTCTACCTATCCCTAACCCTAGCTAGTTCATTGTCAGTAGAGTTGCAGTTGATAGTTTGAGCATCTACAGAGCATTTTTAGGGGACTACACAACTCCGGTGTACTTCCCCACAGCAGGAAAGGGGAGAGAGCCAGGAGGGTTCAGAGCGAGAGTTGCTGCAGAGATCCCACAACCAGCTGCCATACTTCCTGGGCAGGCCAACCCAGGACAAGACGGTCATCAAGTCTGGCTATTGTGTCAAGCAGGGAGCTGTGGTGAGTGCAGGGGACTATGGTGGGTTACAGTAGGGGGGCTCTTAGTTTGAGGTTTGGTGTGTTACACTAGGGGGGCAGTAGCATGAAGAAGTAATGTGTGTTTTTTTTAATGCTATTTTCTTTTCCCCAGATGAGGAATTGGAAAAGGAGATATTTCTTACTGGAGGAGAACTCCATGAGTTACTTCAAATCAGATCTGGTAAGTCCTTTTCATCAACACTGGAAAGCATACTGGAATTACTTATTACTCATACACACACTCACATGTCCTGGCATGCTCCACCTCATGTTCCTGGAATCTTGTGCCTCTGCTACACATGTCCTAGCATGTCCCTGTCTCTGTGCCCTACCACACACAGTCCACGAAGAACTTCCATGCTTGCCCATATTTTTCACCAGCATGTGTCTATTTAGCATCAACAGTGCCCAAGGACGGTCTTTCTCCCTTGTCTTCTTTGTGTTCCAAATATACTCTATCAATAAGGCCTTGAAAGTTGGTTTTGCTCAACAGAAAGTAGCCCGAAAGACCAGTGCAGTAATTTACCTGTGGCGCTGCGCCACGGCAAACTCATTGCCGCCACGCCCCAAAAAATATGGACCATGAACAAATATTTCTGCCTAGGCGCACTTTGAAGATGCTGGAACAGTCCACATTTACTTTTTCTTTGCAAACAAAACGAGTAGGCTAATGAATAGGAAAATCAGACAACCCCGTAGTCAGCTTGTTGTGTCTTCTTCGCGAGAGAAATATTCCTCTCGAGGGACATTCAAGTTATGAGTGCCACAGGGAGGGAATTCCCAGAATCAAATATAGGCTGCAAAAATAGGCTACATTTATTTAGTAGGCTGCTCAAATTTTTACCAGCCGCACCGGTTTACACTTTATATGGGCTGAATTAATGTAATAATTAACTGTTTAACTGAATTATCGAAAACAAATAGGCCTACATGCTTGCACTTTGTGCAGGCTGTGTATCCATCTACTGTGTTCAGGGCTCTACATTAAAAAATGTCATTGGTAGCACTGGTGCTCTAAACTTAGAAAAGTTAGGAGCACCACATTAAATTTAGGAGCACCAGAAAATACGATTTTTAAAAATTGAGATACAGCTTATATTGGGCCTAAAATGATTTCTAGCTAATTTGGAAACTCATATTGTTCCCTAAAAACAAATATGTAACACTATAAATACATTAGTTAAAATGTTGATTGAGTGTGTGTGTGTGTGTGTTACGAACACCTGTCATTGAAATTACAAAGTCATTTGTGGAATATTAGGTTTCTACATTGTGTAAAAGCACTATTTTCCTATTGACATGAATTACATTGAAAATTGTACACTGTCTCTTTAAAAACGTCAGGTTTGTTATGAGGACATGCTAGAGATCTGTAATTCATTAATTGCTATGATTATTGATCTCCTGAAGAAGATCCCTTTTCCTTTCTTTCTGTGCCCCCAAATGTTTGGATATACTGGTAAAGTTAACAAGTTGTTGGTTAGCTAGCCAATGTAACATGGCTGAAAAAAGCGTCAACAAATGGCTAATGACGTCGACACGCGCGAGTACTTTCAGAATGGCCTAGGACATGTTTTATGAATGTAACATGCGGTCCCAGCGATATGCTATAGGAAGATAAAAATGTTGCGCCGTTAATATGGGTCAGATCTTTTGACCTGGTTAGACTAGAAGCAATCCGTTTCTGATGTAGTAATGGTTGCAACCATGACGCTAACGAATCTGTGCTTGTTTCTCTAGGGCAATCTGAAACAACTGTACAGCGAAGCCTTATCATTACAAAAAATATTATCGGAAATCATAGTCGCACAGTGCTCCCAAAATAAAACTACTGGTCGCACTGTAAAATATTTTGTCGCATATTCGACCAAATTGGTCGCACTTTAGGGCCCTTACCGGCGTTGTCCTTCCATACTGCGCAGCACCTATTTCCACGATTTATGTTGTAGCCTATTCCCTTATCATAACCTTTCTTTATATTTCTCCGGTTAGGCCTACTTTAGCCATTTTCGCATGAGCTAGGCTATCCAGGGAAAGTAAACTTGGCAAAGTGTCGTATTCTCACGTGGGGAGAGGGACAATAAGCTCTGCGCGTGGCAAATTAGAACGTTTTAGCACCACACAAGTAAGGGAAAGTTCCCGGCTCTCAATGTGTGCATGGCTGGTAGCCTTATGTCTACCTCGCCGCTCACAGAATATAATTCACAACACAATGCTACACAACCAGCTCCAGGGTTGAAAAAAAAAAGTGTATTATCGTGATTTTAAATATTTCCGACCCGCAATGTAACTGTTCTGAACCGCGAGCCGACCTACGGGTTGAAATAATGTTTTCATTCCACCCGCCAGCTGATTTATTTTTATTTTTTTATTGGCTCACTCACGGGAACCTGGGTCTCCAACCAGATGCAGGACTCTACTAATGATTAGCCCAATAGGGTAAATGCAGATAGGCAACCCCATGCTTCAACTTATTTATTTATAGCCACTATGCTACATTAGCTGGGCTACAGGTGATAATGCTTATTGCTAATAGCATACCTGATTATATGGACCATGCTTAGGCTATATGCATGGTCCAATATGTAGAAATGATTTTACCAATATGTTATTTAGCTCATTTTTACATTTTAGTTTGTGTCAGCATTTCATTGATTTTGGAGTAGAATGTCCTTTTTAAGAAGTCACAAGAACTGAGCTATAGCACGCGTTATAGCAATTTGTTATATATTTTTGGGCTCTTAAAATCTAATGTTATTTCTTCTCTTTCTCTTGACCTCCCCTCCCCCCTCCTCCTCTCTTCAGGAGAAGGACCCTCTGAAAATGATTCCATTGAAGGAGGTCCACAAAGTTCAGGAGTGCAAACAGAGGTACTGCACACCTCAGCATTCTCATGGTTGAAGGAAGCCTCTACATCCACATACAGTGGGGAGAACAAGTATTTGATACACTGCCGGTTTTGCAGGTTTTCCTACTTACAAAGCATGTAGAGGTCTGTAATTTTTATCATAGGTACACTTCAACTGTGAGAGACGGAATCTAAAACAAAAATCCAGAAAATCACATTGTATGATTTTTAAGTAATTAATTTGCATTTTTTTGCATGCCATAAGTATTTGATACATCAGAAAAGCAGAACTTAATATTTGGTACAGAAACCTTTGTTTGCAATTACAGAGATCATACGTTTCCTGTAGGTCTTGACCAGGTTTGCACACACTGCAGCAGGGATTTTGGCCCACTCCTCCATACAGACCTTCTCCAGATCCTTCAGGTTTCGGGGCTGTCGCTGGGCAATACGGACTTTCAACTCCCTCCGAAGATGTTCTATTGGGTTCAGGTCTGGAGACTGGCTAGGCCACTCCAGGACCTTGAGATGCTTCTTATGGAGCCACTCCTTAGTTGCCCTGGCTGTGTGTTTCGGGTCGTTGTCATGCTGGAAGACCCAGCCACGACCCATCTTCAATGCTCTTACTGAGGGAAGGAGGTTGTTGGCCAAGATCTCGCAATACATGGCCCCATCCATCCTCCCCTCAATACGGTGCAGTCATCCTGTCCCCTTTGCAGAAAAGCATCCCCAAAGAATGATGTTTCCACCTCCATGCTTCACGGTTGGGATGGTGTTCTTGGGGTTGTACTCATCCTTCTTCTTCCTCCAAACACGGTGAGTGGAGTTTAGACCAAAAAGCTATATTTTTGTCTCATCAGACCACATGACCTTCTCCCATTCCTCCTCTGGATCATCCAGATGGTCATTGGCAAACTTCAGACGGGCCTGGACATGCGCTGGCTTGAGCAGGGGGACCTTGCGTGCGCTGCAGGATTTTAATCCATGACGGCGTAGTGTGTTACTAATGGTTTTCTTTGAGACTGTGGTCCCAGCTCTCTTCAGGTCATTGACCAGGTCCTGCCGTGTAGTTCTGGGCTGATCCCTCACCTTCCTCATGATCATTGATGCCCCACGAGGTGAGATCTTGCATGGAGCCCCAAACCGAGGGTGATTGACCGTCATCTTGAACTTCTTCCATTTTCCAACAGTTGTTGCCTTCTCACCAAGCTGCTTGCCTATTGTCCTGTAGCCCATCCCAGCCTTGTGCAGGTCTACATGTCCTTACACAGCTCTCTGGTCTTGGCCATTGTGGAGAGGTTGGAGTCTGTTTGATTGAGTGTGTGGACAGGTGTCTTTTATACAGGTAACGAGTTCAAACAGGTGCAGTTAATACAGGTAATGAGTGGAGAACAGGAGGGCTTCTTAAAGAAAAACTAACAGGTCTGTGAGAGCCGGAATTCTTACTGGTTGGTAGGTGATCAAATACTTATGTCATGCAATAAAATGCAAATTAATTACTTAAAAATCATACAATGTGATTTTCTAGATTTTTGTTTTAGATTCCGTCTCTCACAGTTGAAGTGTACCTATGATAAAAAGACCTCTACATGCTTTGTAAGTAGGAAAACCTGCAAAATCAGCAGTGTATCAAATACTTGTTCTCCCCACTGTATATCGCATGCAAATTTGATTTTGTTTACTTATCTTTGTATATCCAGTGACATCATGATGAGGGATAATCTCTTTGAGGTCGTCACCACTTCTAGGACCTTTTACATTCAGGTGAGAATATTCCATATAATGTCTAGATTCATTTTAAGAATTATCCCTCTCAGTATATGTATTTCCCTCACCTCTGAATCTCCCCCTTTACAATTTGCCCCCTACCCCCACTCTCTCTCCCCCTTCCCCTCCCTCTATCCCCCTGCCTCATTGTCCCCTGTATCCTCTCTCCCTGCAGGCTGACAGTCCAGAGGAGATGCACAGCTGGATCAAGGCTGTCTCTGGGTCCATCATAGCACTGCGGGGACCTGGGAGATCTGCAGCCACAGTACGTAACCACCCACCAGGCCACTGGGATGATAGGGCTACTGCATGCCCTCTGGCTCTTCTGTTCAGTCTCCTGTCTGTCTGGTCCTTAGTAACAACACAAATTGATCTGTTCTCTATTTGTCACGTGTTCATGGCAGCCCAACACACACATATACACACACAAACAATGAGGATGCAGGAAGGAGTGAAAAGTACATGTCACATTCTGTACTCACTACAGAGGGTAGAGGTTGGTCCCCCTCCTACTGTAGCTGTTAGCCCTCTTTCTGAGAGTGGCATTGCATAGGCAGTCGCCACATGTCTACTCTTTTCTCTTTCTACCACTCCCTCTCTTTCCCCCCTGTACTGTGGGCTAGCCTGGCCCTTCCCAGCCTGCTCTAATCCAGCTGTCCACTGTCTTTTCCCCCTGTACTGTGGGCTAGGCTGGCCCTTCCCAGCCTGCTCTAATCCAGCTGTCCACTGTTGTTGCAGATGCGGCAAGCCAGATGGCTGTCGAACCCCTATATACAGAGGTATACGGCCCGAATCGGGGAGTGCAGCACGTATGTCAGCTCCTGTTCCCCAAAGCTCCTTCTCTGTGCTGTTGTTTTTCACTAACCTTTGGTTTTCGATGTCATGGAGTGGACTGGAGAGTCACCAATCTGCCTCCCTAAAAAACAAACTGTAAATGTCCCTCCCTGTGTGGGCTCTAACCCTTCCACCCCGCTGCCCATCCCATAACTGCAACTCAGTCCTTCTCTCCTCTACCTGTGCTTCTTTGCTTTTCCTGTCATTCTGTTCATGCTCTACCTCAGCTCTGGGGTTAGTCCCATAAACTCATTCCCTTGACTTAATGTAGCTTAAAGGGATATAGCGGGATTCTGGCATTTAGAGTCTGATGAAGTCGTTGATACCATTTTTATAGCTCTGCGTGCTGTATAAAGGAAGTTAGTGGTAGTTTTGCAAGCCGTTAGTGCAATGACTGGAAGATTACAGGTACAGTAGCAAAGCTAGTTAGCATTGGCTCGCAATATTACCGCTAACTTCCTTTATACAGCATGCAGAGACATGAACTAGTGGATACCATTTTTATCTGACTCTGAGTAAGTGCCAGAATCTTGCAGTATCCCTTTAACTTCCCTGGACCTCTGCAGCCAGTCACTGCCTCCCATTCACTTCCACACCCACTCATCCCGCTCTTAACTGCAGGTAGCCCAGGGGTTAAGAGCGTTGGGCCAGTAACCGAAAGGTCGCTGGTTTGAATCCCGAGCCTACTAGGTGAAAAATCTGTCGGTGCCCTTGAGCAAGGCACCTTAACCATAATTGCTCCTGTAAGTCGCTCTGGATAAGAGTGTCTGCTAAATGAATAATATGTAAATGTAACTTCCTATTGAGGCCCTGTTGTCGCCATTGAAGATGTAACTTTTTAAACATCCCTCTGCAACTTTGAAACTCTTACCACACTCACACACACACATTTGCAATCTGTACTAACGCATCTCTGGTACAAACACAATTTACAAAAAGTATAAAATCACTGGTTTCCCCTTTCAATGGTCTTCGTATTGATTGTCCAATGGGTGTATAATGGAGCCAGCCTGATTTGAGTCTTACCTTAGTGTGCACTTGTTCACTTCCCTTAATGGATTTAAAAGTAAAGGACAATATGGTGGAAAAACACCCAATGTTTTTAAATGCATCGTGGGGAGGGAGTGTATGAATGCAAACTTCAGGAGAATTGGGACGCAACCTTAGGCTACCTCTCTAAGATGTGCTGCAGTGTTGTGTAAAAAATGTTGTACAGACCTGTTTCCTGTTTCTGTCTATATCACTTCATATGTGTCTCACACTCTCCTTGTCTCTCTCTCTGTGTCTCTCTGTGTCTCTCTGTGTCTCTCTCTGTGTCTCTCTCTGTGTCTCTGCAGTCTCCTGCAGCTGTGTACCTGTCTTAGATGTCTCACATCCTGCCTGTCTCTAGTTCCACCTCCTGTCCACTGCCTGTATGACTGTTTACTCTCTCACACACCCTCAACTTACATAATAATAATAATATGCCATTTAGCAGACACTTTTATCCAAAGCGACTTACAGTCATGCGTGCATACATTTTTGTGTATGGGTGGTCCCGGGGATCGAACCCACTACCTTGGCGTTACAAGCGCCATGCTCTACCAGCTGAGCTACAGAGGACTACACCCAGTTAATTTCTCATTTTCTAAACAAAGACAAGTTTTGAATTAACTTTATCTTTGGGAGCTAAACCACAGTCTTATTCACATAAATAGCTGTTTTATGTTTGTGTTGTGTATGTTTGTTTGATGACTTCTTCTGTACATGTACACTCGGAAGCTCTTGAACTAACCGACCTAACATACCTGAAGAATCACATAGCCCTTTGTTTGCTCACACATGGGCTGTTATGGTGTAGGTGTTTCTGTTGCATGGTCTGCTTCAAGTCATCCAATTAAACTGCACATATGTTTTTGACAAATGTTCTCTGTCCGGCTGCATGTTTGAATGCATGGTACAGAATTATGAAGACTTTGGTGAAACAAACACCAACCGGTCACTGACATGTTCTTTCTTTATTCCTCACCCCCTCTTGTTTTTACAGAGCGTGAAATCTGACAGTGAAATACTAACTTTCAAAAACACGACCACTACTACTACTGCTTGCACTACCACTGCAACTGTCACGGCTTTCCCAGCACTTCTACTGTCCGCTACTACTACTACTACTACTACTAATACTACTACTACTACTACTTCTACTACTACCACTGCTGCTGCATCAGCCGCTGCACCACAAGTCTGGCACTGACTCTATTCACAACTCACTATGTTTTCCAAATTAGACTCGTCATTGCCCTTGGTCCCTGTCTGACTGTGATTTTGTGGGACACGCCCCTCTCTCAGCAGGAGCACTGTGGCCGTTCCTTCCCTTCCACATTCTACCACAGCCACCCGGGGCCCCCCGTCCCTCGCTCGCCCATATCTGCAGTGCCACCCTACCCAGGGTGCCCTGCTGTCGCGGGCGGCGCACGCCCGGAGCCTGGCGTGGGACAGCGAGCATTTCATGAGCCTCCTGCCACGACCCAGCCACGCCCGACTGTCACTGCAGGAGACACTCCTGTCCAAGTGACTGCCGCCACCGCCCTCGAGTCGCCATGGAGACGGCGCAGCACCTTTGAGGGCTACCCACCAGAACCCCCCCTTGACCTGGACGCTGCCGACCTGCCGGTCAGTGAAGTCTGACCCCTACCCACGAACTACCCCCTAACCTGGCAGAGGGGCTGGGCTACAGAGGAGAGGAGATGCTGTGTGACAACAGTGATAATGGGAGAAATGAGAGGAACAGGGTTGACAGTTTCATCTTAAATCAACCATAAGTCCCCTTTTGACTGGGGGGAATGAAAGCTTGTTGTGTGCAAAAGGGAGTGGCAATTGAATGAGAGCTTCACAAAATATATATATATCTCAACATTTCTAGCCTGTCTATCTATGGGTAACAGGGTTGACATGTTATGCTCGACCTGCTCAGTTTTCCACCAGAAAATTGCCAAAAAGAGTAGAACCAGCTCACCTGTTTTTACACAGATTTTACTATTAGATGTTCAATGTTTCTTTTGAAACAAATATTTTTAAAAGTAATAGTTTCACCATATTAAATTGAGAGTTCAATTCACGTAACAGGGTCAGGTTTAAGTAGGGTGGTAGTTGTGATTAAGGAGAGTGAGAACAGGTGTTGAGGCTGATTAGCACTTAGTAAATGAATCACTAATCACATGAAATAAATAATAATCTTCAGAAATTACTTTGTCAAAGCAATAACATAACTAGGGCTTTACAATTATGGTGAAAACCTTGAGAAATGTTGGTTAAGTGGGTTAGAATCTTCCTAGAAGTCACAGAGAATGCACGGAGGAACATGTCAAAATGCTGAATTTAATTCCATCTTTATTCAGATAAAAAAAAATCTGATTTTATTGAATTCTCCATGTGGTGTATATTAAAGGGTACTTCATTTAATATAACAGATGCAAAAAAAATGATATTGGTGCTCAATTTTTACTTAACATATCGAAGGGAAGCAAAAGGCACTCATTTCGTGGAACGATCCATGGATGTTTGCCTAATCCTGCAGGGTACTGTCTTGGGGTTATCTTGTACCAATAGGAGTTCAGTGGGGGAGTGAGTTGAGCGAGGTGGCTTCAGTACGGGACCAAAGTCAACAGCAGTTACTACTAGGTTAGGGATGGTCAGAGTGGCCACCAAACCTGCCTGACCTCTTTATACCTGTTTCCTGTACAGTGGCTTCAACCAATTTAGTGACTGCTGACCTATTTGTTGAGTTATGACAATGACTGCTGCTGTTTTGTGCGTGTGAAAACATTGGTTTTCTTTGGTGACAGTTTTGTTGTATGGGATTGTTTTATTTTGTTATATTGCAAAATGATGTGGGAAGATGTATATTTCTGTTTGAACTTCCCTGTGCCTGTTTTGCCAGGTAGTGGAGGTTAACCCAACAATACTACTCAAAGGTCTTATTTCAATAGCTCTCAGTAGTGGTTCTGCAAAACCATATAGCTATTGTGTACTAGATTTTAATTGTGTCGCTATTTATTACGTGGATGACTTGAAAGAAATAAAGACTTTGAAAATGCTCATGTGTTGATTTAATTATTGCAATTCAGTTCAATCTAGATGAGCAGCAGCTCATGATCTGCTCAGCGAACTCTCCCACTAGCCATTAATTAACACATTTTGAAATAAAATCAAGGACTAAATCCAGATAAACCAGACAATTCTATGAATGCATAAAGAACTGAAATAAACTATGCTAAATACTAAGAAATGGTTCAACCTCTCTTACATAGCCTCACACTTAAATGTATGACTACTCTGCCCCCTGGTGGTGAAATGTAAACTTAACTTTCTTCCCAGGGTAGAAATGTCACAATACATTTGACTCACTCCTATACATACTGACCGTTTGTAATGGTGGTCAGTTAGCAGTCAGCATTAGTTGGGTGTCCAATCATTGACCTGTCAAATCTGAGCAGGGTGTGGCGGTATGAGTTGTGTTTAGTCGAATGGAGGTCCACAGTGACCATTGATGATGTCATACGGTTGCTTGTGGAAAACAAAAACATCTACATCTGGATTGACTTGGGTCCAGTAAGAAGTGGGTGAGGCTGACAGCTCTCAGTGCCTGAGGTAGCCCAGTCTATCTATGCCTTTATTGGCCTGCAACAGTGACTTTTGTTGGGCTTCTGAGAGAATAATAAAGCAGCAGTTTGGCCCTAGAGAGACCTCTGCATGTGCTCATGCGAAATGATACAGATCACACCAACAATGGGTTCAAGTTGAGGAGATTTGTCTTGTTTTCTTTAACTTATTAGGGTGTAACCTAAAGTAGGTTGATTTCATCAATATGTTTTAATGGGTTGCCTTGATGTTTGCATAGTCACTTTAATAACTCTACCTACATGTACAGATGAAGTCGGAAGTTTACATACACTTAGGTTGGAGTCATTAAAACTAGTTTTTCAACCACTCCACAAATGTCTTGTTAACAAACCATAGTTTTGGCAAGTCAGTTAGGACATCTACTTTGTGCATGACACAAGTAATTTTTCCAACAATTGTTTACAGACAGATTATTTCACTTATAATTCACTGTATCACAATTCCAGTGGGTCAGAGGTTTACATACACTAAGTTGACTGTGCCTTTAAACAGCTTGGAAAAATCCAGAAAATTATGTCATGGCTTCAGAAGCTTCTGATAGGCTAATTGACATCATTTGGATAAGAGCGTCTGCTAAATGACTAAAATGTAATGTAAATATAATTGGAGGTGTACCTGTGGATGTATTTCAAGGCCTACCTTCAAACACAGTGCCTCTTTGCTTGACATCATGGGAAAATCAAAAGAAATCAGCCAAGACCTCAGAAAAAAAATTGTAGACCTCCACAAGTCTGGTTCATCCTTGGGAGCAATGTCCAAACGCCTGAAGGTACCACGTTCATCTGTACAAACAATAGTACGCAAGCGACCGGGAGACCCATGGCGGCGAACAATTGGTCCAGCATCGTCCAAGGTAGGGGAGGGTTTGGCCGGCAGGGATGTGGGTTCGTTTCCCACGGGGGGAAAAAAAAGAAGGAAAAAACCCATGTATGCATTCACTACCTTTAGCGTCTGCTAAATGACTAACATGTAAATGTATAAGCACCATGGTACCACGCAGCCGTCATACCGCTCAGGAAGGAGACGCGTTCTGTCTCCTAGAGATGAACGTACTTTGGTGCAAAAAGTGCAAATAAATCCCAGAACAACAGCAAAGGTCCTTGTGAAGACTGGAGGAAACAGGTACAAAAGTATCTATATCCACAGTAAAACGAGTCCTATATCGACATAACCTGAAAGGCCGCTCAGCAAGGAAGAAGCCACAGCTCCAAAACCGCCATAAAAAAGCCAGACTACAGTTTGCAACTGCACATGGGGACAAAGATCGTACTTTTTGGAGAAATGTCCTCTGGTCTGATGAAACAAAAATAGAACTGTTTGGCCATAATGACCATCGTTATGTTTGGAGGAGAAAGGGGGTGGCTTCCAAGCCGAAGAACACCATCCCAACCGTGAAGCACGGGGGTGGCAGCATCATGCTGTGGGGGTGCTTTGCTGCAGGAGGGACTGGTGCACTTCACAAAATAGATGGCATCATGAGGAAGGAAAATGATGTGGATATATTGAAGCAACATCTCAACATCAGTCAGGGAGTTAAAGCTTGGTCGCAAATGGGTCTTCCGAATGGACAATGACCCCAAGCATACTTCCAAAGTTGTGGTAAAATGGCTTAAGGACAACCAAGTCAAAGTATTGGAGTGGCCATCACAAAGCCCTGACCTCAATCCTATAGAAAATGTGTGGGCAGAACTGAAAAAGTATGTGCGAGCAAGGTGGCTTACAAATCTGACTCAGTTACACCAGCTCTGTCAGGAGGAATGGGCCAAAATTCACCCAACTTATTGTGGGAAGCTTGTGGAAGGCTACCCGAAACGTTTGACCCAAGTTAAACAATTTAAAGGCAATGCTACCAAATACTAATTGAGTGTATGTCAACTTCTGACCCACTGGGAATGTGATGAAAGAAATAAAAGCTGAAATAAATCATTCTCTCTACAATTATTCTGACATTTCACATTCTTAAAATAAAGTGGTGATCCTAACTGACCTAAGACAGGGATTTTTTACTAGGATTAAATATCAGGAATTGTGAAAAACTGAGTTTAAATGTGTGTGTAAACTTCCGACTTCAACTGTACATATTACCTCAATTCCCTCAACTAACCGATGCCCCCGCACATTGACTCGGTACCGGTACCCCCTGTATATAGCCTCACTATTGTTATTTTACTGCTGTTCTTGAATTATTTGTTACTTTTATTTATTCTTCTTTGGTATTCTTTCTTAAAACTGCATTGTTGGTTAAGGGCTTGTAAGTAAACATTTCACTGTAAGGTCTACACCTGTTGTATTCGTCGCATGTGACAAATAACATTTGATTTGATTTGATTAAAGGTTGCCATGTCATTTTCCCAACATGCAATTGTCCTCCAAAGCTATAAGTTCAAATGGAAAGTGTTTACAACACCAAACCTCATGAAATCCAGTGTCACTTTTGTCCCACATACCCTCACCCCCTTCAATGCAAGACAAAATGAGAACCGTTATGAAAACAGGACCCTCTCCATCCCTGTGCTTCCCTCAATAAGTACCCCTTTGGTTATGGCAGCAGCACTCCATAGCACCACAGGCAACCTCCATCTCAATGCCTGGGCCCTGAGTATTGGTCCAACCACCTCATTAAACCATAGTCATTAAAATATCCCTGGCCCTTCACCAATCATATAGTATGTGAGAGCGGTTTATGGCAGTGATTCATTGGTCCACTGTTTACTGGATCTTTTACAGCCCACCACAGGCATCCAACTTGACAGAGATTTGTTGTTTGCTGTATAAGCCACTAGCTATAACATTGGAATTTATGCTTTTGACACTAGCAATTGACCTATATTTCTTCTAATACTAGCAATTTGTTTAGTCTTTAATTTGTACAACTTCAGGAAACAGTTTGGCTTTCGGTTAGAATACCACAAAAAGCAGTTTGCTAATGATCATATGATCAATGTTGGTTGAATGAAAAAGCTTTGAATGTTAGCTTTGCTTACAAAATTGGTCATGATTCATCCCCACCCAAGTTCCCCTCAAATATTGGTTTCTGTTGTTTGTTTAGTTTCTGACCACATATTATTAATGAATGGACATAAGATTTAGTTAACTAATTATTTTGTAAATGGCTTATAATCCAGAGCAATCATAGAACCCCTCGCACCCTCACTCTCTGTTGTTTTTGTAGGCCAATTATATGAGTTGAGTAAGTTGCCAAGAGTGACTAAGTCATTAAGGGAACAGTAAAAACAGCAAGTTTAGGGCTGAAAATCCAGAATCCAGAATTATACATGCTTCATGAACTCTCCTGTGATTTATTCTGTTGTAGGCAGTCTATATGTATAGCTTCCTATTGATTGGGGAATTATCATATTAGTTAATTGTGAGCAATGTTATGATGGCACCACACCCGTCGCTATGGGCGGGCCATAGGGGGCCGGGCCCGCCCCCAAAAATGCTTGTGCCCCCCCCCCCACTTGAGGGAATTTATTATTAAATATACGTACTGTAGGCTAATAATAATTGTGCCCTGCCCTCCCATGCATTTCATATGCCCCCCTTAAGACTGAGGTCTGGCGACGGGTCTGGATGGCACACATATGTGAATGGATTATCTAAACAGCTGCATTTCAATGTTTAGAGATATAATATCAAGGCACACATCTTTATTTGTTTTGTTACAGGTACATTATCCACTTCAAATGATACATTTATAAAATATGTGTCACGATCGTCGTAAGGAATTGACCAAGGCGCAGCGTGTTGAGCGAACATCGTAGACTTTATTTAATTAAAGATACCACGATCAAAACAACAAACCAAAATGACGAAAGTGAAGTCCAAATCTGACACTGACAAAACAGGATCAAGGAAACAAAAACCCACAAAACCAAGGTGAAACCCCACAGTATAAATATGGCTCCCAATCAGAGATAACGAGCCGACAGCTGTCACTCGTTACCTCCGATTGGGAGTCACCTGAATAAACACTAACAATCACCACACATAGAAATGAAACAACCAGAATACCCAACATAGAAATACACCCAACCAAGGAAAATGAACAACCCTGGCTCAATAATAAAGTCCATGGAGCCAGAGTGTCACAGTACCCCCCCCTAAAGGTGCGCACTCCGGGCGCACCAGCATACAGTCTAGGGGAGGGTCTGGGTGGGCGTCTGTCCATGGTGGCGGCTCTGGCCCAGGTCGTGGTCCCCACCCCACCTTAGTCACTATCCGCTTCCGTAGCCCCTTCCGCATGACCACCCCCCAACTAAACCCCACTGGATTAAGGGGCGGCACCGGACTAAGGGGCAGCACCGGACTAAGGGGCAGCCCTGGACTAAGGGGCCGCACCGGGCTAAGGGACAGTACCTGACTAGCTGGCTCTGGCGGATCCTGGCTGGACGGCTCTGGCGGATCCTGGCTGGACGGCTCTGGCGGATCCTGGCTGGCGGAAGGCTCTGGCTGATCCTGGCTGGCGGAAGGCTCTGGCTGATCCTGGCTGGCGGAAGGCTCTGGCTGATCCTGGCTGGCAGAAGGCTCTGGCTGATCCTGTCTGGCAGAAGGCTCTGGCTGATCCTGTCTGGCGGAAGGCTCTGGCTGATCCTGTCTGGCGGAAGGCTCTGGCTGATCCTGTCTGGCGGAAGGCTCTGGCTGATCCTGTCTGGCGGAAGGCTCTGGCTGATCCTGTCTGGCGGAAGGCTCTGGCTGATCCTGTCTGGCGGAAGGCTCTGGCTGATCCTGTCTGGCGGAAGGCTCTGGCTGCTCCTGTCTGGCGGAGAGCTCTAGCGGCTCCGGTCTGGCGGACGGCTCTGAAGGCTCATGGCAGACGGGCGGCTTTGCAGGCTCAGTACCGACGGGCAGCTCCTGCGGCGCTTGGCAGACGGACAGTTCAGACGGCGTTGGGCAGACGGGCAGTTCAGGCGCCGTTGGGCAGACGGGCAGTTCAGACGGCGTTGGGCAGACGGACAGTTCAGGCCCCGTTGGGCAGACGGCAGACTCTGGCCGTCTGAGGCGCATCGTAGGCCTGGTGCGTGGTGCCGGAACAGGAGGTACCGGGCTGAGGACACGCATCTCAGGGCTAGTGCGGGGAGAAGCAACAGGGCATGCTTGGCCCTGGGGACGCACCGTAGGCCTGATGCGTGGTGCCGGAACTGGAGGTACCGGGCTGAGGACACGCATCTCAGGGCTAGTGCGGGAAGCAGCAACAGGGTATGCTGGACCCTGGGGACGCACATAAGGGCTAGTGCGGAGAGCCGGAACAGGGCATGCTGGACCCTGGGGACTCTCATAATGTCTAGTGCGGAGAGCAGCAACAGGGTATGCTGGACCCTGGGGACGCACATAAGGGCTAGTGCGGAGAGCAGGAACAGGCCGGGCTGGGCTGGCGACGCGCACCGTCTCCCTGGTGCGGGTGGCCGGAACAGGCCGGGCCGGGCTGGCGAAGCGCACCGTATCCCTGGTGCGTGGAGCAGGAATAGGCCGGGCTGGGCTGGCGAAGCGCACCGTATCCCTGGTGCGTGGAGCAGGAACAGGCCGAACCGGGCTGTGGAGACGGATAGGAGGCCTGGAGTGAATAGCGGCCACCACCCGTCCTGGCTGAATGCCTACCCTCACACACTCTGTGTGAGGCATCCGCACAGGACGTACAGGGCGGTGTACCCCTGGCCTGGTGGCCTCCTGAATCCGCCCCCTTTTCTCCTCCTTCAGCCCTCTGGCAGCCTCCTGCTGCCCAGTCGCCCAAGCCATGTGCCCCCCCCTAAAAAATTTCTGGGGTTGACTCACGACCCTCCGACGATGAACCTGCTGCCGCCGATGCTCCTCTCTCGCCAGGGCCTTGATCTTCCCCCAAGGTCCCTTGCCTCCGAGCATGTCCTCCCAGGACCACGCTGTGCCCACCTGGGCCATCGCCAGCCTCTCCATCTCCTTGCCCGGCGCCTCCTCCCATGTCCAGTCACCTTGCTCCTGGACACGCTGCTTGGTCTTTCTTTGGTGGGTTTTTCTGTCACGATCGTCGTAAGGAATTGACCAAGGCGCAGCGTGTTGAGCGAACATCGTAGACTTTATTTAATTAAAGATACCACGATCAAAACAACAAACCAAAATGACGAAAGTGAAGTCCAAATCTGACACTGACAAAACAGGATCAAGGAAACAAAAACCCACAAAACCAAGGTGAAACCCCACAGTATAAATATGGCTCCCAATCAGAGATAACGAGCCGACAGCTGTCACTCGTTACCTCCGATTGGGAGTCACCTGAATAAACACTAACAATCACCACACATAGAAATGAAACAACCAGAATACCCAACATAGAAATACACCCAACCAAGGAAAATGAACAACCCTGGCTCAATAATAAAGTCCATGGAGCCAGAGTGTCACAATATGTACCCGTAGGCTGCCAAGAAATACATACAGAGTTTAACAGGTGACATCAATAAGGGATCATAGCTTTCACCTGGATTCACCTGGTCAGTCTATGGTGTTCATAATGTTTTGTACACTCAGTGTATACTGTATATGTTTTGTATGTAATGTATGTGTCAGGCTTTAGCTGAGATTAGTCTTTACAGAGTCAAGTATATTTGTCAAGGCCTCAAATGTTCCTTGACTAGCACCATTCATTCTCACTTTGATCATTCTTATGTTATAACTTCTTCTTGAAAGGAGTAGTCTGAAAAAAAGTGTTTGTTTTTTGTGTCATTAACAACTTTTCCAATTATGATATCTTCTTTAATTGTGATTTATTCAGTAGTTGAATTGTTTTTAACTAAACATTTAATGGCTTCCCATAAAATCACATTTTGATTAGTCCATCCATGATAGGCCTATTCCAAAAGTGTAGCATATTCTAAGTTTAGTCTATTTCAAAATCAAATTCATTCAAATAGGCCTAATGAAAAAAGTATATCAAAGCTCTTCCCTTTAGGATGTGACACACACTCCAACCATAGAAATGCGTATTTTTATTGCCTAGAAAGTGTGCTGGGTCATGTGGAGTTGAGTGGGCTTTTATATAAATGCAGTGCCAGCAAAAAAACGCAGTTGCGTATTGGTGCGTAGTGGAAGTGGAGCTTTTCTAAATCCCTTACATCAACTACTCTGCTCTACACTCCTCAGCTCACATGTACCAAAGTACTGCAAGTTTAGAGAAGCCCGGACACTTTTTGTTTACTTTCCCATATTTTGACAACTGTGTTTCACAGTAAACCACAATGTTTTGGTCACTATTGTGCTTAACAGTTTGCTTGGCATCCCTACCTGCCGAAGCACAGACCTCCAATAGGTACGTTATCGGCTGTCCCAGTCGTTGTCACAAGGCGATGTGTCCCCGAATGCCAGCGGAGTGCTTAGCAGGACAAGTCCTGGACCACTGTAACTGCTGCCCTGTGTGTGCCTCTGGAGAGGGCGAAGCGTGCGGTGGCAATGGAAAGCTTGGAGACCCGGTGTGCGAAGAGGGGTTGGAGTGTTCGGTGTCCGGCGGAGTGGGGTACTCTGCCACGGTTAGAAGAAGAGGGAAGAGCGGCGTTTGCGCCTGTAAAACTACCGACCCTGTATGTGGTAGCGACGGTGTATCCTACCGTAACATCTGCGAGCTCAAGAGAGTCAGCAACCGGGCACTGAAACTTCAGCAGCCACCTGTTCTGGTCATTCAACGGGGAGCATGTGGGAAAGGTAAAGGCTTTGAAGAATATTATACATATAATTCCCATTTCACCGTCTTGAATGTGCTATTTGTGTGTATTTCATATTTATTCTTTCTGGTGGGTTCCTTACTTTAAATCAGTGAGCATAACTCGATTACAACTTTTCCATTCAATCGATGCTTTACGCGAAAATCCAATCTATATCAAATAAAGATTCAGCCTTGCTGAGATTTAGAGTCATGAATTCTCGTCAGAAAGGAATCAGTGTGTGACAGACTGGTGACAACGGCATCCAGATGTGACAGCTGGTTATGTATCCCAGGGGCACAAACATCAAGTGTCATTTGACAGCAAAACAAAGACTACCATTGAAATGCGTTGGTTTTTGTTTTTGTTAATTCACTCAGACTATCAGTAATCCTTGCTTAGTTTTGCTTGTTTGAAATAAATCACTAATTCTATTATCTTGTTATAAACGGTATGGATTAGCTCTGGTATGCATACAGTCACATGGGAATTACCCTCCAAATTAATTTGTCTAAAGTAGCATAATTAATGCAATAGGTCATTGTTGCTGACTTCACCACATCAAAACTATGAAATAACACATATGGAATCATGTAGTAACCAAAAAAGTGTTAAACAAAGCAAAATATATTTTAGATTTTATATTCTTCAAATAGCCACCCTTTGCCTGGATGACAGCTTTGCACATTCTTGGCATTCTCTCAACCAGCTTCATGAGGTAGTCACCTGGAATGCATTTCAATTAACAGGTGTGCCTTTTAAAAAGTTAATTTGTGGAATTTCTTTCCTTCTCAATGCGTTTGAGCCAATCAGTTGTGTTGTGATAAGGTAGGAGGGGGTATACAGAAGATAGCGCTATTTGGTAAAAGACCAAGTCCATATTATGGCAAGAACAGCTCAAATAAGCAAAGAGAAACAACAGTCCATCATTACTTTAAGACATGAAGGACAGTCAATACGGAAAATGTAAAGAACTTTGAACGTTTCGTCAAGTGCAGTCGCAAAAACCATCAAGCGCTATGATGAAACTGGCTCTCATGAGGACCGCCACAGGAATGGAAGACCCAGAGTTACCTCTGCTGCAGAGGATAAGTTCATTAGAGTTACCAGCCTCAGAAATTGCAGCCCAAATAAATGCTTCACAGAGTTAAAGTAACACACACATCTCAACATCAACTATTCAGTGGGAACTGTGTGAATCAGGCCTTCATGGTCAAATTGCTGCAAAGAAACCACTACTAAAGGACACCAATAAGAAGAAGAGACCTTCTTGGGACAAGAAACACGAGCAATGGACATTAGACCGGTGAAAATTTGTCCTTTGGTCTGGAGTCCAAATTGGAGATTTTTGGTTCCAACCGCTGTGTCTTTGTGAGATGCGGTGTGGGTGAACAGATGATCTCTGCATGTGTATTTCCAACCGTAAAGCAGGGAGGAGGAGGTGTTATGGTGTGGGGGTGCTTTGCTGGTGACACTGTCTGTGATTTATTTAGAATTCAAGGCACACTTAACCAGCATGGCTACCATAGCATTCTGCAGCGATACGCCATCCCATCTGGTTTGCGCTTAGTAGGACGATCATTTGTTTTTCAACAGGACAATGACCCAACACACCTCCGGGCTGTGTAAGGGCTATTTTACCAAGAAGGAGAGTGATGGAGTGCTGCATCAGATGACCTGGCCTCCACAATCCCCAGACCTCAACCCAATTGAGATGGTTTGGGATGAGTCGACCGCAGAGTGAAGGAAAAGCAGCCAACAAGTTCGCATCATATGTGGGAACTCCTTCAAGACTGTTGGAAAAGCATTCCAGGTGAAGCTGGTTGAGAGAATGCCAAGAGTGTGCAAAGCTGTCATCAAGGCAAAGGGTAGCTATTTGAAGAATCTCAAATATAAAATATTGATTAAAACTACATGATTCCATATGTGTTATTTCATAGTTTTGTTTTCACTATTATTTTACAATGTAAAAATAGAGAAAAACCCTTGAACTTTTGACTGGTAGTGTATATATATATGTAGTCACCCCTTCAAATTAGTGGATTCGGCTATTTCAGCCACACCCGTTGCTGACAGGTGTAAAAAATCGAGCACACAGCCATGCGATCTCCATAGACAAACATTGGCAGTGGAATGGCCTTACTGAAGAGCTCAGTGACTTTCAACGTGGCACCGTCATAGGATGCCACCTTTCCAACAAGTCAGTTCGTCAAATTTCTGCCCTTCTAGAGCTGCCCCGGTCAACTGTAAGTGCTGTTATTGTGAAGTGGAAACGTCTAGGAGCAACAACGGCTCAGCCGCGAAGTGGTAGGCCACACAAGCTCACAGAATGGGACCGCCGAATGCTGAAGCGCGTAGCGCGTAAAAATCGCCTGTCCTCGGTTGCAACACTCACTACCGAGTTCCAAACTGCCTCTGGAAGCAACGTCAGCACAAGAACTGTTCGTCGGGAGCTTCATGAAATGGGTTTCCATGGCCGAGCAGCCGCACACAAGCCTAAGATCACCATGCGCAATGCCAAGCGAAGGCTGGAGTGGTGTAAAGCTTGCCGCCATTGGACTCTGGAGCAGTGGAAACACATTCCCTGGAGTGATGAATCACACTTCACCATCTGGCAGTCCAACGGACAAATCTGGGTTTGGCGGATGCCAGGTGAACGCTACCTGCCCCAATTCATATTGCCAACTGTAAAGTTTGGTGGAAGAGGAATAATTGTCTGGGGCTGTTTTTCATGGTTCGGGCTAGGCCCCTTAGTTCCAGTTAAGGGAAATCTTAACGCTACAGCATACAATGACATTCTAGATGATTCTGTGCTTCCAACTTTGCGGCAGCAGTTTGGGGAAGGCCCTTTCCTGTTTCAGCATGACAATGCCCGTGTGCACATAGCGAGGTCCATACAGAAATGGTTTGTCGAGATCGGTGTGGAAGAGCCTTGATCTCAACCCCATAGAACACCTTTGGGATGAATTGGAACACCGACTACAAGTCTGGCCTAATCATGCCCGACCTCACTAATGCTCATTTGGCTGAATGGAAGCAAATTCCCCGCAGCAATGTTCCAATATCTAGTGGAAAGCCTCGCAGAAGAGTGGAGGCTGTTATAGCAGCAAAGGGGGGACCAACTCCATATTAATGGCCATGATTTTGGAATGAGATGTTCGATGAGCAGGTGTCCACATACTTTTGGTCATGTAGTGTAGAATAAATGAAGGTGAGGCGGAGGTATGTCTACAGATATGCTGTATTCTGACCTTGACTTAATTCCACCACCTTTACGCACGAGGAAACCATGAATAAGGTCTAGCGAGAGTGGAAAAGGCATCTACAGAATTGTTTTCCCGATAGAAATAACAACATTCTCCATGCACTGTAATTTACAACTTGATAAGAGCTATTGATAAGAGCTAGGTCAATGAGTAATCCGTTTGACACTTGTTTTAGATATATTTAACCTTATAATTGCTGGAGACAAATGTGAAACCAGTCATATTGCAGCAAACTGAAGCATATCAACTTCCCACAGTAAAGTTTATGAAATGCTGTGCCATTGTGCAGAATTTAAATTGTACAACCTTTTAACTTGCAGGGATGGGCATTCTCAAATCTTTTAACACTCTCGAATATCTTAATTATATGCTACCCAGACTTTCTCTGTTTCCTATTTCTATCATGTTAAATATTAGCCACTATCAGTATCGACCGTCAGTAGGCCTAATAACCACACATATTCAACTGCCAATTTACTGTTAGTTCCCTTCAGTTGGTATAGCCTACATTATCATCCATTTAATTCCATTGTTTAGTTTACCTTCATTTGCTTCCTCTGTAAACGCTGTCACGTGCATGTGGTTGTTGCTGAGGATTATTAGTAACAGTTGATTTTTTAAAAAGACATGAAGGCTAATTAAATCGTTATGGAGCGGAGCTCAGACCAAGCCGTAACAGTTTGAACCCGACGCCTGGCGCAATACTTGGCCATGTCATCGCACTGTTCCATGGTTAGTGCAGGCAATAGACAAGGGTATAGCCTACTATTGTACACTATTCTCCCTATTATAATTATATGTACACTAGTCTTCCAACATTACCATGGGTTAAAGAACTGAATGTGGCAATTTTCAGAATGAATCAAAACACAATTTCCTTTCTTTCATGTGCAAAGGCTCTCCAAACCAGTTTTTTATGATTCATAAATACTTTCCTAACCCTAAATAATCAACAAGATAAGAGTATGTTTAAAGCTACCAATTGGTGCTGAAACAAAGACGAATATGCATATACTGTTTTTAGATGGCTTTCTATAATTGATCGCTAATATTCTGAACCTGTTCTCTCGATAATATTCTATTGAGTCTGTCGACAAAATTCAAATTAAAAGGTACACCGTATTTAAAGGGATGGCTTAAGATAAATGTACTGAAAACCCAATTGAATGAAAATCTGTTGTCCAACAAGTGGGAGGGTTTGCAGCAGTTGAATTTAATTTATTCAGCATGCGGAAGGGAATCACCCCTGCAAAGCCCTTTATGCAACTTCATAAGGTTAGTCTGAATACCAACTAGTGAGAAGTGCGTAGGAAAGGCGTGTGTAAGAAATGCCTAATTTCCTAAGTTAGAATCGGGCCCCATGTGTTTAGTTCATAGTTGGACCGCAAGGGTTCAAAATAGTTATTCGGCTGTCCCCATTGGATAACCCTTTTTGGTTCCAGGTAGAACCCTTTTGGGTTGCACGTAGAACCCTCTGTGGAAAACGTTCTACCTGGAACCCAAAGGGGTTCTCCTATGGGGACAGCTGAAGAACCCTTTTAGGTTCTAGATAGCACCTTTTTTTCTAAGAGTGTAGGCATGGAAACTTTCACTTCGCCAGCTACTGTGTGTGTGCTCATGCTAAATTTTTATCACAGTACTTCGAAACGCTGATTCATTGTCAGACAGTTCATGTATGTGTACTGTATGTGCATGGCAGTAGGCTATCTATTTTTAATGTCTTCATGTGTATACCTTTTCCAACACAAGGACACACAAGGCATGCCAAAGTTATGTCAGAGAGTGTCTCCTCAGTGATTTTGCAAACATTTGGGATGCAAACACTTGATCCAGCTCCTCTCCAGCTCCAGCCAGCCTAAGAAAACAGAGTGCAGCTCTGTGCCAAGCTACATGAAGGCCCCTGGCCAAGTAAAGAGAGGCTCCGGACCACTGGCCTCAATGGCCTCTCTTAAAGCAAACACATGAAATTACACTTGGTGCATGATGTCATTTGCATCTGGTTTCTGAAGTTGTCGATTATGCAAGTTGTTTGAACTGGCACAGGATTTAGGTCAAATGTTGCTGTCCTGTGGGCCCGTTGTGTGTTTTCTTAAATAACTAATTTAGTCACAGAATGGCATATATGGCCTGCAGAAACAAGTTTGAGATGTATTGATAAGAGGTAAGAGAATAAACACGACTTTAGGATGTTGAGAACAACCTTTTCATGCATTTCTTTTCAATGCACACCTAAAGGAACAGCAACATAATGCACAGCTCTAGTGAGTGATTGGGGCTTGCTAGCTTTACATTGGAAAGCTGTGTTGGTGTACAGTTAGAGAATGGAGAATGTGAGTTGTCTGTGACTATGCTTGGTGGATCATGTACAGTACACTGATCGTGCACATATTTTCTCCCAGCCTTCTCGTCTCTGCCTCTTTCTTGCCACTCTCCCCTTCATCACTCTGTTTCTCTCTCTCTCTCTCTCTCTCTCTCTCTCTCTCTCTCTCTCTCTCTCTCTCTCTCTCTCTCTCTCTCTCTCTCTCTCTCTCTCTATCTCTCTCTCTCTTTCTCTCTCTCTCTCTCTCTTTCTTTCTTTCTTTCTTTCTTTCTTTCTTTCTTTCTTTCTTTCTTTCTTTCCTTCTTTCTTTCTTTCTTTCTCTCTCTCCCTCTCCCCTTCCTCTGCTTTCTCATTCTCCATATTCCTTTCCCTATTCCTTTCCCACACTGAGATCCCACATATAAGGCACACTCACAGCCCTTAGGTTACTACCCAGTCCTCTAGACTATACACTTTCTCTCATCAGCAGGGTTATCACGAAACAATGGTCTAGGGATTGAATTGGGATTGGGCTTTTCTGTGTATGTTCACACGGCTCAGGGAATATGTTTAATGTGACTTAGGGACCCTTTCAAAGACTTAGTGAGTGTGTATTTGCTGCACCACAGCTTCGCAGCAAGGTACCTGGATTACAGTGATACTGCAGCGGGAATACAACCCCACTGACACTGCAACCCAATCCCTCTGCCCGTAGGATGGGTTACAGGAAGAGCAGCTTCCTTATGGAAAAACTCATAAAGCAGCAACAGTGTGGACAGGCAGGCAGAAAGGTGTGTGTTGGGGAGTTCTTGATACAAGAATCAGGTTTGTTTTCTTGGAGAGGTCAGTGAGTTTGTATAGCAGACGTATGGGAAGTATAGGGAGATGGACAGAGTGTGTCTAATAGAGGGAGAGATACATACCAGGGGTGGAGTGTCTCTTTGACAGGAGGTTACTGAGCTGGCCCATGGAGATCATGACTAGTTAAACAAGTTCATTGTTTCATTACATTTGTACATTTGAGTCATTTAGCAGATGTTCTTATCCATAGTGACATACAGGAGCAATTAGGGTTAAGTGTCTTGCTCTAGGGCACATCAACAGATTTTTCACCTAGTCAGCTCGAGGAGTCGAACCAGCGACCTTACGGTTAGCCTACTGGCTCAACGCTCTTAACCGCTAAACTACCTGCCGCATGAGCTTATGAGTGGTTTTGTGTGTTGCTACATGTTGCATAGACGTAACGAGACAAGTCGAGAGAAAATGTGGCGCCACAGAACCATTTGGAATAACTATACTACCTCCATCCTCCTCCACTCTTTCGTCCGGTTCCCCCACCTCTGAGGAGGTGAAGTTGAGGGCTACAGGAGCACGGATAGGACAACATGGATGTTTCAGGGAGCCACAATAGACAGGCTACATCTACACCTTGACATGATGATCGGTTTTGATTTATTTAATCAATATGACATTGTTCAATTAGAAGTGAGACCTGAAGCCTGTTGCTTGAATACCTTAAATATAGCTTGTATAGCTGTTTAAGAGGGTCTCCCATGGTCCTCCTCTCTCTACTCTCTCTCAGTCTGTATTGAAGCATGCCTGCCTGGGGTCAGAACACTTAAATCAAAAAGCCATTATCTCGGTTTAACTGTGTGTGTGTGTGTGTGTGTGCGTGTGTGTATAGGATATCTTTAAGTATATTTTATTTGACTCTGTCAATTGCTGGCAGACAGTACATGTGGGTCGACTCAACATACTGTATGTATATCATTCTGTAAGGAGGCTTATGCAGATGTCCTCCATAATTTCAGAACAGTAAAAACGGATAGTTATTAAAACCCCTTTTCAAAGGCATTCCAATGATATTCAGGATTTTGGATGGAGTTGACGTTCCAGTAGATGCTCTCATCCTTGGTCCATATGCTTTTCTATTTGTCTAGCGGTCAATTTTATTCCAGCAGTTGTTGACCTGATCTGAGCCCCAGCTCCTCAGACAGAGTGTCTCATTAAGAAATATCCTGTCACGGTCTACAGACGAGGCAACACTGGCAACAGTAACCTGCTCGGCTATGGAAGGAGCACACACAGACTACATCTGGTTTGTGATTTTCCCAAATCAGCAAGAAAGGTTTCGTCATCAACTGGCCCAAACCCACTCTCCTTCATTTCCAATGCAGTGATGTGTCTGTGGAAACAAATCAGTCTGTCTGTGTCAAGAGGACGGGCCAAATATCATCATAACATAGAAAAATGAAGAGGTCAAGTGCTAAAGGATGACCTCTTTAGATACTTCAGACTGATCTCAGGTCTAGATACCGGAGCAGGCCCACGGACCGATGCACTCATATCTGTACTCATACCCATGGGTGGCGCACAATTGGTCCAGCGTCGTCCAAGGTAGGGGAGGGTTTGGCCGGCAGGGATGTGGGTTCGTTTCCCACGGGGGCCCAGTATGAAAAGAAAAATGTATGTATACATTCACTAACTGTAAGTTGCTCTGGATAAGAGCGTCTGCTAAATGACTAAAATGTATATAAAAAAATATCTTAAACATTTGAAGCAGGGACATATGCCATCATACTATTCCCATATCTTGGGGCAAATTACAGCTATCCTGAAGATATGGAATATGAATGCCATCACGGAATTTCTCCTCTTACACAGGAAAGAAATGGGGTATTCTGAACTTATAATTAAGTAGGATACAGTATGCCAAGACTGTGCTCATTTTACTCTTGTGTTGGTTTAACTGTGCCTCAAGTAAAACGTTTTCTTTTTTCACAACCCATCACAGTAACATTAAAGTTAGAATAAAGAGATTTCAGAATAACTTCTAATCATTGGTAGACACATTCTTCTAAGCTTATGGGCGCCTCTTTGCTGTTGGGTGGCACGTAAAATAATTGAACTAAACAACCTTTATAAACTACAGCAAGGTGTAGGATTGTATGACAAAACCTCTATATTTTAAACATAATGACTTGATGGGGGTGTGGAAAGATGAAGGAGATAAAGCATGATTATCTTGTTTTTACTTAAAAAGCAAGATGTCTATGATAATCTTCAGAGAAGACTTACAGTAATTCACAGCCTGGAAAAATACTTGTATGCCTTCTCAGTATGATGTAATTACATGGTAAGTCATCAACATTTTCTGACTTATCTTCTTACGGAAGAATCAAAGGCACTTACAGACAGAGACAGAAGCACAGGATAGACTCTGTCTATGCCACAAACTGACTGTCATCTTTTCCATTTCTCTTTTAGACCAGTTTCATATACTGGGCTTATTCTTGCATTGCTGTTACATCATTTCATTGTATTTGTGTTTGTGGTTGTGTTTGAGTAAATGTTTATCCCAACGTCCTGTCTCTGTTGTTGTATCTCTAGCCCAGGACAACCCAAACAGTCTGAGACACAAATACAACTTTATCGCTGACGTGGTGGAGACGATCGCCCCGGCCGTCGTTCACATTGAACTCTACCGCAAGTAAGAGCGGCACCTGTGTGTATGTGTGCGTGTGTGTGTGTGCGTGTGCACTTGTTTTCCTAAATGATCTGGACCCCAGTGTCCTAACATTTGACCTTAATGTCCTGGAAAGGTAGGAAAACAATTACTTTTTTCAGTTCCTGAATTTGTTCAAATGCTATTTTAAACTTAAGGGTTAGGTTTAGGATTTTGGGGTTAGGTTTAGGGTTATGGGTTTTTGGGGTTAGGGTTAGGTTTAGGGTTAGGGAAAATAGGATTTATGGTGAAAACATTTTACACTCCAAAAAGTCCTGAAATGTGTGTGTGTGTGTGTGTGTGTGTGTGTGTGTGTACGTCCTTGAATATCTGTAGACACATACCAGAGTTTACTTTACAGCCCACCTGGATGTGAGCCTACACTAGTTGGGAAAACACTTAAGTCAAAACCCTCCCTTTTAACATATTTCTCCTTCTGCTTCTCATCCTCTTTCCCTGTCTTCATCTCTCCATCCCTGTCTTCTCTTCCCTATTTCTATTAATCTCTCCCTTTCTCTCTATAAATGTATCTATCTCTTTCTCTCCCTCTCTCCCCCTCCCTCTCTCTCAGGATGGCGTATTCTAAGCGGGAGGTGGCGGTGTCCAGTGGCTCAGGGTTCGTGGTGTCAGAGGATGGACAGATCGTGACCAACGCCCACGTTGTGGCCAATAAGCATCGAGTAAAGGTGGAGCTGAAGAGCGGCGCCACCTACGACGCCAAGATCAAAGACGTGGACGAGAAGTCCGACATCGCACTCCTCAAGATCGACTCACCGGTAAGAGGGGACACCAGAGGTCACAGACATAGCTCATCAGTTCAAAATCTAGTTCAAATGACTTTATTCGAACAACTTAACCCATCAATAACTGACAAAGGAGACAAACGGACACATAGGGAAGAAGTTTACACTTAGAAACAGTTGCAATATTGTGGTAGATCGCTTGTGTTGTGTGCTACCCACTCCATCACAAAGACCAATTTTCAAGTTTTATTACCACGTGCACAAGTACAGTGAAATGTATTTCTTGAAAGTTCTTTCACAACAATGCAGTAATCAATATCAGTAGTACTATTAAAGAAAGTAATGTAGGACAAAAACACATAATAAATCAAATAAGATAAATAGAAATAAGAACACGAGAAAGTAAGGAAGCTGTATACAGGGCCAGTTCCAGGGTCAGTGCCAATACCATATTTACAATGTGCAGGTATACTGGAGTGGTAGGGGTAGATATAGTGTTAAGGTGGCTAGGCATCAGGATATATGATAAACAGTTGCAGCAGAGTAAATTATGATCGTATGTGAGTGTGTGTGTTTGTGTAGAGTCAGTATGAATGTGTGTGCATGTTATGTGTGTGAGCAAATTAAGTGTGTGAGTGTGTGAGTGTGTGAGTGTGTGTGTGTGTGTGTGTGTGTGTGTGTGTGTGTGTGTGTGTGTGTGTGTGTGTGTGTGTGTGTGTGTGTGTGTGTGTGTGTGTGTGTGTGTGTGTGTGTGTGTGTGTGTGTGTGTGTGTGTGTGTGTGTGTGTGTGTGTGTGTGTGAGGGAGGGAGGTGTTCAGTCCCAGGGTCCCAAGCTTGGTGACGAGCTTGGAGGGGACTATGGTGTTGAACGCTGAGCTGTAGTCAATGAACAGCGTTCTCACATAGCCTCTTATCTAGGTGGGTGAGGGCAGTGTGTAATACCATTGAGATTGCGTCGTCTATGGATCTGTTGGGGCAGTATGCAAATTGGAGTGGGTCTAGGGTGTCTGGGATGATGGAATTAATGTGTGCCATAACCAGCCTTTCAAAGCACTTCATGATTACAGATGTGAGTGCTACAGGTCGGTAGTCATTGTGCCAGGTAGTCTTAGAGTTCTTGGGAACAGGAATGATGGGGTCAGCTTGAGACGTGGGGATTACAGACTGGGAAAAGGTTGAAAATGACCGTGAATATGCCTGCCAGCTGTTCTGTGCATGCTCTGAGAATGCGCCCTGGAATACCATCCGGCCCCATGGCCTTGCAAGTGTTGACCTGATTAAAAACCTTACATCGGACTAGGAAAGCGAGATCACCCAGGCCTCTGGGTCGGCGGGGGCCCTCATTCACGACTCTGTGTTGTTTTCCGTTGGGCAGATTACAGCTGGGTTTTCCTTTGTAATCCGTAATGGACTGTAGCCACTACCACATGCTGCAGGTGGCGGAGCCTGTATAATAGGATTCCACTTTCCTATATTGTCCTTTTGCTTGTTTGATGGTGTGATGAGTGTGATGGAAGGAGTCAGGCGCAGGAGGATAATCACAGAATACAGAGTTTATTCCGTCTTTACACAGAATGCGCTGGATAGCGACAAACGAAACAGGCACAGGGGAAACTATCTACCCTGGCAATACACTGTAATGGTAGCTCCAACAATAAATAGGCACAGGGGAAAATATCTACCCCGGCAACAAATAGGTATGACGAATGCCGAAGCTTGCCCGAACAAGGAGGGGAGGCAGCCTCGGCGGAAGTCGTGACAGATGGCTCTGCGGAGGTCGTAGCAGGACTTGTTGTACTTAGCTGTGTCTTCAGCCATAGCCTCGGGGTTGGCTGTGATAGCCCTGTGTGTGGTAGCCCTGTCCTTTAGTTTAGCACCAACCTCAGTGTTAATCCAGGGCTTTTGATTGTGGAAGCAGCGAACCTTCACTGTGGGACAACATCGGTGATGCATTTCCTGATGAAGCCAGTGACGGAGGTGGTTAGCTCGTCAATGCTATCAGCCCTAGCAAAGGAGTCCTGTAGCATAGCCTCCGATTCGGAGGACCATTTCCCTATGGAACATGTCACGGGTACTTCCTGTTTGAGCTTCTGCTTGTAGAGAGGAAGCAGGAGTATAGAGTCATGATCTGATTTGATGAAAGGTGGGACAAGGGAGGGCCTTGTATGCGTGCTTGTGGGCAGAGTAACAGTGGTCTAGGACTTTATCGCCCCAAGTGGTGAAGGAGACGTGTTGAGGGAAGTTGGGCATCACGTGTCTTAATAACGCGGAATTAAAATCAACGGCAACCAGAAAAACAGCCTCCGGGTGCAGTTCCAGCTCGTAGTTTTTCTTGTCCTGAGGTGGAATATATACAGCAGTCACGATAACAGCTGACAAATCTCTCGGGAGGTAGAAGGGTCAGCATTTGAACATTAGGTATTCCAAGACGGATGAACAACAGGTCAAAACTTCAGCAAACCATTTGCTGTTGATGAAGAGTCATACACCTCCCCCTCTCGATCTCCCTGAATTCATTGTCCTGTCCGCTCGGTGAATGGAGAATCCATTGAGTTGGATAGCCATGGGGGGCATTTTGTCTGAATGCCATGTTTCAGAAAAGCAGAGAATATTGCAGTTACGAGAGTCCCATTGATAGCAAATTCGCAATCGGAGGTCATCCATCTTATTATCAAGTGATTGGCCAATAGAATGGAGGGAAGAGGTGGCCGGTTTTCCCTTTGCCTTAATCTCGCCTGGACTCCCCCTCTCCTGCCTATTTTTTGCTGGCGTTTTCTCTTGGGTAGCCCGGAATTAAAGAAAGAGCCCATGGCAGATGAGTCGAAGTTGAAGCCGGAATTGAGGTTAGTAACTGCCAATCTTCACAATATTCCTTAAAATTGAAATTTTATGGAATATTATAAGTGGCACAAATAAGAGGGTTTGAGGAGTGTGGCCCATGCTTCAGTGCTATTTAATCCCTGCCTATGAGCGTGAGTGGGAATGACATTGAGTTTCAACTCCCCGGAGGCAGATTGGATTTTAAGTACAGCCTTCCAGGCCAACAGCAGCCATCTTGGTGCAGTACTTTCCTATATCTTACAACTGCAAATCTAGACAACATTAGCAAAGTGAGCAACAATTTAACAACATCAATTACTTAATATTATTCCCTATTAAACATCAGCGGAGTCGGAATTACAAGATGGTTATTGGTAGAAAGGTGTTGTTCAGCTTGATAACACAGCTGATTGTTTGAGAGGTGCCAACCCGTGCAACCAAATGGTCCTTGTTAACGCTGGCATTATACACATAGTTAATGTTGGCATTCAGATAAAAATACTTCAGAAACAACAGTCATTAGGAAACGATTCTCTGAAATAAACTTGGAATACATTCTGCAAAGACTCATTACCAGCAGAGGAAACCCATTTCATGCTCCAATGAGCAAATAGTTTTGATAGCAAAAGATTAAATGGCATGGAGGTAGGCCATGTAAGGTTTTTGCCGTGGGAGCGTACAGTAACATAGAGAGATTGTTGCTTTGTGGACTAGCGGGATACACATCACACATTAATCATATTCGACAGCCATATGAAGGAATGCCTGGCACCCATTCAAAGCCACAGGCTAGGAGTAACTGCACCGCAGAATGCCTCGCAGAGCATTCCCTCGCGTCAATGCACAGCTGAAAAGACACTCACGACAAGGACTGCATCGGCCCAAAATGCCAAGACAAGCACAAGGTTATGTTTTCTTTTATGCGGCCTACAGTGTTTCCCCATACTGACTGACCCTGGAAGACCACTGTGCTATACACTCTGGTCTACATTTAAGGCACATACTAGACAACTGGAAGGTGATATCAGACCCAAAGCAGTGATCCATGAACATCTGAAGAAAAGATTATGGATGGAAAATACTTTATTACTTCTCAAAAACTAGTTTCAAGACACTGAAAAGTCTAATGATTTGTGCCATGGTGGTAAAGACTACCATCCAACTACTGGTTGACCATGACAGCCCAGTACCTGACTGTGGATTGAACATATACCCCGTGCCCCACTCTGGCTACATAGCTAAGACAGCTGTTGAAATCTTTGCCCCAGTTTTCTCTTCTGTGTGAGAAAGTGTCTACCCAGTCTGTCCAGTAGGCACAGTCCCAGTTCCATGACTAACAACCACAGTGGGACAGGACAGAGGCTACAGGCTAGGGGGAGAGGGGAGGGGGTCTGACTCATGACATCCCAGCTAATGAGACAGTGGGTACGGGTAGGGAAAGGTGGATGTGAGGGAAAGAGTCAGTGAGAGAGAAATTAGAGGATGAGAGAGGGAGGGAGATAATTAGAGGCCAAAATAAAGGAAAAGTTTGAATTTCCTAATTTGAATGAAAAATACAGTCAGTTGTCACAGCTCTGTCCTCAGGGCTTCGGGTCTGTACTCTTTTAAGTATTTATTTATTTCCCTCTTTTCCCCGCTCTCCCTCCTTCTGTCCCTCTCTTGCCTCAAGGAGGAGTCATTATGAGTATGGGTCACTTTTGTCAAACTTTGTATTTCACATAAGCACACTGAGAGAGAATCGATCACACATGTTTATGACTGTGAGCTTTGAAAGTTGACTCTTTGAATGTAGAATACCCTCTCTTCCCCCTCAGTTTACTGACGGCTGGGTCAGTCCGTTCCTGGGCTGCGATGTGGTGTACCCACGTCTCTGGGGAAGACATTACACATCTGCAGTTACATTAGTCTGTCTGCAGCATTTGTGACTTCAGAGGACGGGAAGGAGAAAGGGAAAAAGTGCTAAACTTGTTTCTGACAGAGAGAGAATGGGATGGAGAGGCAGGGAAAAACAGAGGGGATGAGGTCAAGGCCTGGAAAATGGATCCATATGTCTGCAAAGCTAAGGGATCTAATAGGCTAATGAGATGGCTGTGTGATGTGGTGCTGGGAAGATAAAAATAGAAGTCATCATGCGTGGGAAAGAGCAGTTTGTTAACCATTTCCACTCACTCGCTCACTGCCTCAACTGTCTGTGGTGCAAAGTAGCGCACTGACGGTGTCCTCAATTTTGAATATTTGAGATGATTTTGTTTATGGAAGTCATGTCAACAGACTGATGGCAGTTAAACATACCCAACCAAAAGAGGACACCACATCCTCATCAATAAATACATTGAGTATATGTGTCTCAGTACCCAACCACAATATTAGTCTGTATGCTACCCATGTCGTCCACCTCCTAAAAGGGGGTAGGATGACTGGTGCTGGCTAGACCGACCAAGGCTCTTATTGGTCCCCGTTCAGGAGACATCCAGGACATGCTCTTTTTCTCAGTGGAAAGAGTGGTGTCCTTCAGAAAGAAGCAGAGGGAAAATTAATCACATCCTTGTCTCATCCTCCATTTCACTTGCTCTCCCACAATCGCTCCCATCCTTGTGGATGCAGCGTGTCGGGACAAGGGCCAAGGGAAGCAGACTGGCCTTGCTCTTCTATTCGATGCTACAGACTTAGCCTAGTTTGTAGGTGGTTGTTTCCCAGGTCAGCGATGCAGGGGAAGAGAGACCCAAACATCCCAACCGCATCTTGTCAGATCTGCATGGCCCACAGATTAAAGGCGTGTGGTGTCTAGCTGCCCGTTGGTGAGATGCCATCCAGTCTTCCAGGGTGTCTGTAAATCATGCTGGAAACACAGAGGGAGCTTTCGACCATGTGTTTGCTGTTGTGTTGGCTGTGACATTCACAACAACATGTGTGCACCATATTGGTTTCCGTCCAATATCAGTAAAGTTTAGGTTACCCAGTATGGTTGAAAGGTGTTTATATTAACTAGCCTATGCTATTAAATATTGTCAATATGGTTAGCAATCAGTGAGGGAAGGGACATTTATTTTCTTTATAAGGCATATACTTTTCCCAGCTCCTGTGGGCTGTTATGTTGATCTCTCTCTCTCTCTCTCTCTCTCTCTCTCTCTCTCTCTCTCTCTCTCTCTCTCTCTCTCTCTCTCTCTCTCTCTCTCTCTCTCTCTCTCTCTCTCTCTCTCTCACACACTAACACACACACACACACACACACACACACACACACAGAACAAGTTTCTGCCACCCCTCAGCCACTGCTGATCCCCAGAGCTGATGGTTCAACAGGTATGAACATGTTGGATCAAGCTCCTCTTTATCCACTGTGGCACAACCCTTGGGACAAAATGTAATGTAGCCATAGTAGGGTTCACCCATGCACAGTCACACCACTTGCTAGTGGCCCCATGAAATGTATGATCTTTGCATGGTAGCACAGGACTAAGAAGTTAACATAATACCTATAGATGTGCTGTTTTATGTTGACCCTGCTTCTTACAGCAGGAAAATAATCCTGCAGCAACAGGAAATGTGAATTATTATGTGGATTATAATACATTTTAAGGGGTTGATACATTTTTTGATACATTCTTTGTTTCAGCAAATCAAGTCTGACATTTTTAAGCGGAAATGACAAACTGTAGAAAAAAAAATTATACCTTGAATACACTACAATTTGCATGCTGCCTTGAAGTCCCCCATAGGAAAAGCACAGTAGTTACCACAGTAAAGACTCTAGAAGTTGTCATAGGTTTAATCACCAAACAGTGTGTTTCACTGGCATGCATGTGCACGGATGCCAGCTGTTTACAGTTGTCTTTTTGTTGGGGTTCATGTAAAATGAACCCTTTTTCTCAGGTTTGCATACGCCTTCGAAACTATTAGCGACAGTCCATCACACCGTGAGGCTTGACAAAAAACTGGTTTGCACCTGCGATCAAGTCATAAAAGTCAATCTAATGGGTTTTTAAGTGATTCCAAACTGCCAAAGCTGTAATATGAAACAAAGACTTGTCTATGGCAACAAAGGAGGCATTTTCCTTGTTGGTCCTTCCACCATCTGCCATGGCAGACATTCTAGATGTACAGCTCAATTTTGGTTGAGATGATAGGATAAAGCCTGAATGTCTGGAATGCTTACCACCACTTCTATGTGCCTCTGACATGCAACTGTTTTTCTGGATGGCTGATAGTAAATACTGGTGCTTTCTGTTGAAGTTTATCTGTCACTATCTCAGCCTCTATTGAAATGATATTGTGTCATTGTCAGTTATCTTCTGTATGAGCCAGTGGAGAGCTTGGAAAATAGCTATTTCTTATTAATAGAAAGGTTGAAATTTCAACTGAAAGTTTGAACTTAAGATCTAGTAGAGCATTTAACTGAAAGCATCTCACATGATGTTAGGGATGGCCAATGCAGGAGAGTGTTGCCTCTTCTTCTCCCTCTAACCACCTCTCCTTAATGAGGTCAATGTCATGGGATGACAGGGTTCGATACTGTGACCAAAACAGTCGCTTTTGCAAATGTTTGACTTGGCAGTGTGACACACATGTTTAATTGGTCGCAAGGGTGCCAGTGAAACAAATGTACCTGGTCACGTACATTTTTGGTTCACAGTTATCATCATGATTTATTGAAACAGTAATGTGCAATTGACCAAAAATAAATAAGAGGCAACAATGGCATGGGAATGCCCCTATCGCTGTGTGTCAGGGCTCGACATGCAGGGGAGGTTTTGGAAACCCTCCATACCAGTCGATCATCCCTGTCAGTGGCCCGATTGGGCAAGTGAAAAAATTAGGCCATTATAATAATCCCCCCCCCCACCGCACTAAGAACAGCGTCAATTCATCGGGGCATGGACTCTACAAGGTGTCGAAAGCGTTCCACACGGATGCTGGCCCATGTTGACGCCAATGCTTCCCACAGCTGTGTCAAGTTGGCTGGATGTCCTTTGGGTGTTGGACCATTCTTGATACACACAGGAAACTGTTGAGCGTGAAAAACCCAGCAGCGTTACAGTTCTTGACACAAACCGGTGCGCCTGGCACCTACTACCATACCCTTTCAAAGGCACATAAATATTTTGTCTTGCCCATTCACCCTCTGAATAGCACACATACACAATCCACGTCTCAATTGTCTCAAGCCTTAAGAATCCCTCTTTAACCTCTCTCCTCCCCTTCATCTACACTGATTGAAGTGGATTTAACAGGTGACATCAATAAGGGATCATAGCGTTCACCTGGATTCAACTGGTCAGTCTATGTCATGGAAAGAGCAGGTGTCCTTAAACTTTTGTGCACTCAGTGTATTTTAGAATCAAAAAATATTGTGCATGTCAATGCTTAATGCCATTGGGTAGGCTTATAAAAAAAATCATTATTCTTAAAGTGTTAATATGTTTTTACATACATTTTTGTTTTGGGGGGTGTTCTGTAGGCTTTTTTTGTACAGTACCAGTCAAAAGTTTGGATACACCTACTCATTCAAGGGTTTTATCTTTATTTTTACTATTTTCTACATGGTAGAATAATAGTGAAGACATCAAAACTATGTCATTTACAAAATAGCCTCCAACACTCTACTCAGCAAATTGGATATAGTCTATCACAGTGCCATCCGTTTTGTCACAAAAGCCCCATATACTACCCACCACTGTGACCTGTACGCTCTTGTTGGCTGGTCCTCACTACATATTCGTCGCCAAACCCACTGGCTCCAGGCCATCTATAAATCACTGCTAGGCAAATCCCCGCCTTATCTTAGCTCATTAGTCACCATAGCAACACCCACCCGTAGTATGCGCTCCAGCAGGTATATCTCACTGGTCATCCCCAAAGCCAACACCTCCTTTGGCCGCCATTCCTTCCAGTTCTCTGCTGCCAATGACTGGAACAAACTGCAAAAATCTCTGAAGCTGGAGACACTTATCTCCCTCACTAACTTTAAGCATCAGTTGTCAGAGTACCTTACCGATCACTGCACCTGTACACAGCCCATCTGAAATTAGCCCACCCAACTACCTCATCCCCATATTGTTATTTATTTTGCTAATTTGCACATCATCTCTTGCACATCTATCATTCCAGTGTTAATACTAATTGTCATTATTTTGCACTATGGCCTATTTATTGCCTTACCTCCATAACTTGCTACATTTGCACACACTGTATATATATTTTCTGTTGTATTTTTGACTTTATGTTTTGTTTTACCCCATATGTAACTCTGTGTTGTTGTTTTTATCGCACTGCTTTGCTTTATCTTGGCCAGGTCGCAGTTGTAAATGAGAACTTGTTCTCAACTGGCTTACCTGGTTAAATAAAGGTGAAATAAATAAATGAAATAAATAAATTATAATAAAAAATTAAATAACAGATGGAATCATGTAGTAACCAAAAAAGTGTTAAACAAATCAAAATGTATTTTATATTTGAGAATCTTCAAAATAGCCACCCTTTCCCTTTATGACAGCTTTGCACACTCTTGGCATTCTCTCAACCAGCTTCACCTGGGATGCTTTTCCAACAGTCTTGAAGGAGTTCCCACATATGCTGAGCACTTGTTGGCTGCTGTTCCTTCACTCTGCCGTCCGACTCATCCCAAACCATCTCAATTGGGTTGAGGTCAGGGGATTGTGGAGGCCAGGTCATCTGCTGCAGCACTCCATCACTCTCCTTCTTGGTAAAATAGCCCGTATACAGCCTGGAGGTGTGTTGGGTCATTGTCCTGTTGAAAAACAAATGATAGTCCCACTAAGCCCAAACCAGATGGGATGGTGTATCGCTGCAGAATGCTGTGGTAGCCATGCTGGTTAAGTGTGCCTTGAATTCTAAATAAATCACAGACAGTGTCACCAGCAAAGCACCCCCACACCATAACACCTCCTCCTCCATGCTTTACGGTGGGAACTACACATGCGGAGATCATCCGTTCACCCACACCACGTATCACAAAGACACGCCGGTTGGAACCAAAAATCTCAAATTTGGACACCAGATCAAAGGACACATTTCCACGGGTCTAATGTCAATTGCTCATGTTTCTTGGCCCAAGCAAGTCTCCTCTTCTTATTGGTGTCCTTTAGTAGTGGTTTCTTTGCAGCAATTCGACCATGAAGGCCTGATTCACACAGTCTCCTCTGAACAGTTGATGTTGAGATGTGTTTGTTACTTGAACTCTGTGAAGCATTTATTTGGGCTGCAATTTCTGAGGCTGGTAACTCTAATGAACTTATCCTCTGCAGCAGAGGTAACTCTGGGTCTTCCATTCCTGTAGCCGTCCTCATGAGAGCCAGTTTCATCATAGCTCTTGATGGTTTTTGCGACTGCACTTGAAGAAACTTTAAATGTTATAATCTTAAAGTAAGAAGGCACACCTGTTAATTGAAATGCATTCCAGGTGACTACCTCATGAAGCTGGTTGAGAGAATGCCAAGAGTGTGCAAAGCTGTCATCAAGGCAAAGGGTGGCTATTTGATTCTACATGATTCCATATGTGTTATTTCATAGTTTTGATGTCTTCACTAATATTCTACAATGTATAAAAAAATAGTTTAAAAAATGGACTGGTAGTGTATGAAAGATCAAATCACCTGCTATTCAAATGATGCACGCATCATTCGTTTTCCTGTCAAGTCTTGACCTGGGCCAGTATTTTTGCTCCTTCGGGCCAATAGCTTTCCGTTGCAGGGCACTGGCCCTGTGTAGGCCTACTACTGGCAAATGTAACTGAATGTTGAGCCCTGCTGTGTGCGGTGCGCATAGCTGTGGGGCCTATATGTCTACCACTGTGTGTAGCCATTAGCAATGCTAATGATAGCCTAACTGTTTTTGGATTAGATGGAAAGGCAATTAAAAGGTAACTACAAAGTAGCCTATGCCTAACTGGCAGAATCATGATTATTTGCATCAATCCAGTGGCCATTTGTTTTGAAAACTCCATCACAAGTACACTACAAAAACACTGCTAGCCAAACACAACTGTCTGGCTGGTGTGCGCCTGAATTAAAGGGTAACTACACAAAAAAATTCTACATTTCTCACATTATATCCAGACCTCCAAAAATGGTTCCCTGATTTGGTTTAAGCATTGTTGTTGACATAGAACATCCAATTTGGTTGTTTTTCTATAAAAAAGTGTGCTTTTGAGAGCAAAACATGTGGGAAATTACAGTCCTTCTCCCCGCTTTCTTATTTGTTTGCCGTGGCATCGTTTTGGTATCAAGTATAATTTTTTTATAATTTGCCCTCTAGAAGGTTTCATAGAACATTTTGCACAGTCTCTTTTCTTTGCTGTTACAGTAAATCTACCCAAATCAAAGAACACAAGGGCATGCTAATTTAAAAGATGGCTAGTCATTACTAGCCTGGTTCTGTATGGAATGCAAGTACATTATGGGACACAGGCCAGGTCAATTATAATTTTATAAATAAAAGATAGTGTGACCAAATCATGTGCTGGTACCACCAACTGAAACAGTTTGGCGCACCAGTGCCACCAGTGGAAAAAGTTAGTGTAGAACCCTGGATGAGTGTTAATGCATTAAGGCCAGCCCATGGTCCAAAATAACCTGGTGAGTCAGTTATGGTCAAGAGAAAGAAATACATATATTCCACACGGAATCCACAAGGACAAAAAGTCGCTGAGTACAAGTAGTTAGTAGGTGATAGCTAGACAGTCCTCACACATGAATAGTCATGCCATTTGATGTTTGCTTTATTCCTATTCACACCTAGACACTCCCACCCTCAAGGGCTCATATCAGCTAGCCTAGGCATTCACAGTGTATGAGTTAATGTGCATGACCGTACCACCCACAAGACAGTGGCAGCATTGTGTGTAAGTAGATGGATATGTGCAGGTGTGTGTCAAGTTGTGTTTTTCATTATTCACTTGGCTGAGAAATTTCAATAAGCGACAGGTCGACTTTATAATGATCACGCTGTTATTACCAGTATCACCACAGCAAGCGGTTGGTAGACAACCATTCCTGACCGTCTCAGTGTTAGTGATTCAGATCGGGCTGACTTCTCTCACTTCCTCCCTCCATCTGCTTATCCCCTTAACTCAGTGGGGTCAAGGTACGGGGTGGTGTGTGTGTGTGAGGGTGGGGAGTCACAGACTGGATAGCAGTTCACAGACTGCTATTCCGGTGTCAAGTCTGGATGAAGGAAATTAGAGGGAGGGGTGGGGGGGTTACTCACTCTCATCTTCTAACTGTCATCTTCTATTAATACCTAGGCTACACCTCAGGGGTCAAGTTCGCACTGAGTTCCCGCAACCCAAAAAGCTAAAATGGCGTCTTATAATTGACATCCATTTTAGATGGATTTGTACTATACTGTATTTAGACCTATTCAGCTATTGTTGGCAACGGTCAGCAGTCAAAAGTGGCCCTTATGTTGTGCCGTCACTCCTCAGAGATGACAATCAACATGTAATAACCTAGTGTGTACACTATATTGAAAAGGAAAATGTAATGTTATCATATTTCATGATGGCACTACACTATGAATATCCCTGGGTAGTTGATTACAGGACGTGTTTCTGTGTTTGGATACAGAGACTTTTGTCTGTGTGTATCTTTGGCTTGTTGGCCAGTCAGTTTCAGTTACCTTAGCTTCCACACTGTGACTCTATTTATAACCCAGGGTAAACAAAATGGATACAGGGGAACAACCGGGAAAGGTCTCTCAAGATTGTGCTGTTGTCAGGGAGTTTGTTGGGTGGTGTGTTGGGCACCACAGACTCAACGTGATGTGGCGACGCGTGGGCTATGCCCATACACTCATTGACTATGACTGGACAGAACTAAGATGATTTCATGCAGACAGGGAAACTGTGGATGGATAAATATACCCTCTGTCTGTCTGCCTGTCTAGGCACTGTCTCTGGGTCATGGTTGCCTTGCCATGGAGTCTCAGTTGTTCATAAATTTAAGTTGAACATAAATGGATTTGTACTGTTTCATGAGGTACTGGCCAGTGGCCACTAATAAAATTGATGCACTGTGATAGGAGAAAACTGAGGATGGATCAACCACATTGTAGTTACTCCACAATACTAACCTAATTGATAGAATGAAAATAAGGACGCCAGTACAGAATAAAAATATTCCAAAGCATGCGTCCTGTTTCCAACAAGGCACTAAAGTAATACTGCAAAAAATTTGGCAAAGCAATTCACTTTTTGTCCTGAATACAAAGTGTTATGTTTGGGGCAAATCCAATACAACACATTACTGAGTACCACTCTATATTTTCAAGCATAGTGGTGGCTGCATCATGTTATGGGTATGCTTGTAATTATTAAAGACTGGGGAGTTTTTCAGGATAAAAAAGAAACGGAATGGAGTTAAGCTCAGGCAAAATCCTAGAGGAAAACCACCAGACCATGGGAGATGAATTCACCTTTCAGCAGGACAATAACATAAAACACAAGGCCAAATCTACACTGGAGTTGCTTCCCAAGAAGACAGTGAATGTTCCTGAGTGGCCGAGTTACAAGTTTGACTTGGTTTGACTTGGATATATGGTGGTGTGATAGTGTTATATGATGTACTGTTTTATATTTTGTTTTATGTGTAATGTAAGTGCCTTAACGTGTTTGGACCCCAGGAAGTGTAGCTGCTCCCTTGGCAGCAGTTAATGGGGATCCCTAATAAATACAAATACAAATACTTAAATCTGCTTGAAAATCTATGGCAGGAACTGAAAATGGTTGTATAGCAATGACCAACAACCAATTTGACAGAGCTTGAATCATTTTTTAAAGAATAATGGCCAAATGTTGCACAATCCAGACGTGGAAAGCTCTTAGAGACTTACCCAGAAAGACTCACAGCTGTAATCGCTGCCAAAGGTGATTCTAACATGTATTGACTCAGGGGGTTGAATACTTATCTAATCAAGATATATTAGTGTTTCTTTTATTTGTTATTTTACAAATGTTCTAATGTGTCTTCCACTTTGACATCACAGCGTATTTTGTGTAGATCGTTGACAAAACATGACAATTAAATCAATTTTAATCCCACAAAATGTAGAAAAAGTCAAGGGTTGTGAATACTTTCTGAAGGCACTGTATGTATGTGGGGCAGGATAGTCTTAAGGCCCACAGTTTCTAGTGCTGCTGCTTAAATATAACTCAATGTTACTGAGGGATGTGTACCACTTAAATATCTCCCCCCTAACCTGTACCCCCTACAGATCAAGCTTCCTGTGCTGATGTTGGGGCGTTCGTCCGACCTGAGGCCTGGGGAGTTTGTTGTGGCCATCGGAAGCCCCTTCTCCCTCCAGAACACAGTTACTACAGGGATAGTCAGCACAACCCAACGAGGGGGCAAGGAGCTGGGCCTACGCAACTCTGAAATGGAATACATTCAGACAGATGCTATTATCAACGTGAGTCTGTGAACACATGCACGCACATACACACACATCACAAAGGATTGTGAACTGAGAACTGAAGTGATGTCCTTTTCTGTTTACAGTATGGTAATTCAGGAGGCCCTCTGGTGAATCTGGTGAGAATACTGTTGCTTATTGACAGCTATACAGTGGTTCTACATGTCTAATAGACAGCAGACTATGTGTCTGAATGATGGCACATTATAGTTGGAGACTGTATGCAAATGTGTGATGGTGTGTAGGAGTGGTACAGTGTTATTAGTGTGTCACTTTGTTTCATTATGAGTGATTTTGGTCAGTCTGGTTGTCAGACACTACATTAATGACTTTATTATTGATTGTGTTATTGAAGGATGGTGAGGTGATTGGGATCAACACTCTGAAAGTGACGGCTGGTATCTCATTCGCCATCCCCTCCGACAAGATCCGAGAGTTCTTGACTGAATCCTACGACAGACAGTCCCGAGGTAGGACGTTAAATCCCTATGGTCATCCTGTGTGTAGCATCTAAATATCTCCCGCTAGTGTAAGGTCCTGTCTACACTCTTATCCACATGTTTTGAGGATAACCATAAACACTTACAGACATTTTGATTCAAACCTCTTTATAGCTAATCTTAACCTATGGCCAAGCTTCAGAATTACTTAAATATTCTCCAAGTCAAAAGGTATACCCCGTTTCAAACCTGATGTTTTTCTTCTTATTGTGTTTCCTTAGGAAGAGCTGGGGCAAAGAAGAGATACATTGGTGTGAGGATGATGACACTCACCCCAGCGTAAGTAGATCCTTAGTGACTGGTTATACTTGTAAGGAAAAGGATAAAGATGGGACTTTTCTTCTCTAGAAGGACTGTCAACTCCCGATAAATGCAATTAAAGACTTGAGACTGTGAATGCGTGCACTAAACTGGAAAAAGCAGTTATTCAAAGCTGTCAAAAAGAATGTATTTGAACTGGGCCTGGTGAACTGCATTTCAGTTGGATACGGAAAACGGAGCACTTCTTCTTAAAACGGAGCACTTTTCTTCCCCGTCACTGTAGGTTAACCAAGGAGCTGAAGGTGCGACACAAAGACTTCCCTGATGTCACCTCTGGAGCGTACGTCATGGAGGTGATATCTAAAACGCCGGCCGCGGTGTAAGTATCAATCAATCAATCAATTTTATTTTATATAGCCCTTCTTACATCAGCTAATATCTCGAAGTGCTGTACAGAAACCCAGCCTAAAACCCCAAACAGCTAATAATGCAGGTGTAGAAGCACGGTGGCTAGGAAAAACTCCCTAGAAAGGCAAAACCTAGGAAGAAACCTAGAGAGGAACCAGGCTATGAGGGGTGGCCAGTCCTCTTCTGGCTGTGCCGGGTGGAGATTATAACAGAACCATGCCAAGATGTTCAAAAATGTTCATAAGTGACAAGCATGGTCAAATAATAATCAGGAATAAATCTCAGTTGGCTTTTCATAGCCGATCATTAAGAGTTTAAAACAGCAGGTCTGGGACAGGTAGGGGTTCCATAACCGCAGGCAGAACAGTTTAAACTGGAATAGCAGCAAGGCCAGGCGGACTGGGGACAGCAAGGAGTCACCACGGCCGGTAGTCCCGACGTATGGTCCTAGGGCTCAGGTCTCTCAGTTGGCTTTTCATAGCCGATCATTAAGAGTTGAAAACAGCAGGTCTGGGACAGGTAGGGGTTTCGTAGCCGCAGGCAGAACAGTTGAAACTGGAATAGCAGCAAGGCCAGGCGGACTGGGGACAGCAAGGTGTCATCATGCCCGGTAGTCCTGACGTATGGTCCTAGGGCTCAGGTTCTCAGAGAGAAAGAGAGAAAGTAGAAAACTAACAGGGAAAGTAGAAATGCACTCCATCTCACCAGCAGTCGTGGTTTCTTATAAGTGTGAGGACAAGTTGTCTGAATTGTTCTGTGCTAAGGGATATTGTCTTTGGCTCCTTCCACTGACTGTACACATGTTTCAAATGTATATAGACCCTCAACGCCCAACTTTCCTAACACAAATTCACTCACATTCACACACACACTCGCTCTCCAGTTTTCACGTGCACATATGCAAACGCACGCACGCATACACACACACACGCACACACAAACCCCTTAGTAAAACATTGCTGAGACTCGCTTTAAAATTCTTGTTCACCCACTCAAGACCACAGTTCTACCAGAGAGGGGTTGGGGTTGGGGAGACACTGAGGTCAGCCATTCCCCTCCTCCCTCAAGCAGCAAGGGGTATGCTGTGGTTTTCCTGGGCCCACTCACCCAACCCTAGTACTCTCTGTGTGTCTCATTAGAGGTATAAGTGTTAGTCGTGTTTTCCTGAGTAGTATGAGGGGAATGTGGAAGTGTGGCTGTATTATAGGTGGTGGTTGTGGCCCCTGTTCACATGTGAGTGTGATTAGAGAGTAGTTGTGTGAAAAGTGGAGGCCTTGATATCACTTCTGGTAACCGCTCCGGTCTGTGTAATTTCGTTTTACTAGATTTCTATTCTGGGTGTGTTCGGTCTATGGGAGTGTGTTGCACAAAGCACTCTCCACCTGACTTACTGTCATTATTGTGGTCTTGATGAAGGATAAGTGAAAGGAGACAATTTGTTTTCATTTCAGTTCATTGTAGCACTACAAAGTAAGGCATCATAGAATGTGTGAAAGGCATTTACCTTCTAACAAGAAATGTAAATGCAACAAGGCCAATGGAATCCATTCTTAGCTGATTGTCAGTGAAATAAAGACCAATATTGAGTCTATACCTTACAACCTGTAATTTAAATGGATTTTTATTTGGATTTCATGTAATGGACATACACAAAATAGTCCAAATTGGTGGTGAAATGAAAAAAATTACTTGTTTCAAAACTTTGAACATCCCACGGAGCACCATTAAATCCATTATAAAAAAATTGAAAGAATATGGCACCACAACAAACCTGCCAAGATAGGGCCGCCCTACAAAACACATGGACCAGGCAAGGAGAGCATTAATCAGAGAGGCAACAAAGAGACCAAAGATAACCCTGAAGGAGCTGCAAAGCTCCACAGCGGAGATTGGAGTATCTGTCCATAGGACCACTTTAAGCCGTACACTCCACAGAGCTGGACTTTACGGAAGAGTGGCCAGAAAAAAGCCATTGCTTAAAGAAAAAAGTAAGCAAACACGTTTGGGGTTCGCCAAAAGTCATGTGGGAGACTCCCCAAACATATGGAAGAAGGTACTCTGGTCAGATGAGACTAAAATTGAGCTTTTTGGCCATCAAGGAAAACGCTATGTGAATAGTTATGCACGCTCAAGTTCTGTTTTTTTGTCTTATTTCTTGTTTGTTTCACACAAAAAAAATATTTTGCATCTTCAAAGTCAAATCAAATCAAATGTTATTTGCCACATGCACCGAATACAACAGGTGTAGACATTACAGTGAAGTGCTTACTTACAAGCCCTTAACCAACAATGCATTTTTTAAAGATGTTTTATTTTTAAAGTGTTAAGTAAAAAAAAAGAAAAGCAAATAACTAAAGAGCAGCAGTAAAATAAAATAACAGTAGGGAGGCTATATACAGGGGGGTACCGGTGCAGAGTCATGTTGGTAGGCATGTTGTGTAAATCAAATGATGCAAACCCCAAAAAAATATATTTTAATTCCAGGTTGTAAGGCAACAAAATAGGAAAAATGCCAAGGGGGGTGAATACTTCCGCAAGCCACTGTATATATAGGGTGTCCACCATCTCTGCCCAGAGTGGTTGAAAACGTACTTTGGTGATGACATTTCCCTTCCTTATGTTATAGAATGCTTGTGGAATGGTCCCCTGTAGCTCAGTTGGTAGAGCATGGTGCTTGCAACGCCAGGGTTGTGGGTTCGTTTCCCACGGGGGGCGAGTATGAAAATGTATGCACTCACTAACTGTAAGTCGCTCTGGATAAGAGCGTCTGCTAAATGACTAAAATGTAATAGAATACATTTTACCAAGACAAATATGATTCTTCATGTTCTGAATCGTTCAGTGGGGTCTTCTTCTAACATACATTAAGATTATATCCATAAGTCGGATTTCATATCCTAATACATCCCATAATAAGCACCTAGCTCTGTTGACAGAGCGATGCAGCTTTCTTGCCGAAACATTTGATGATTTTACATTTTGTGGTCGCCATCTTCCAAGTTGTTTCCGCAGGTCGCAAATAGCAAAATTAGCATGACAAGCTGAATTAAATGTAAAAGGCTTTGAAAATAAAAAGCTTGCTCCGTTTACATTTCACAGAGATACGCTTGTTTTGTGAGAAGTCTTTGAAAAAGAACAGGAACTTCAAATGAATATGAACAGCGTAAACTAAAATATGGAAATACTACATCATGTCTCAAAATTTGACATCTATCTTACCTTTATATTGTTTTAATTGTGCTTTCAAGGCAACTGGGAACTCTGAAAATAATGAGGTCGAATCATGACATCAGTGATCTTCAGGTCAGAAAATCGGAGCTCTAGAAAGATGCCAGATTTTCTGACTTGGAATTCCGTGTTGGATGACAGCTCAAAATGATTTTTCCCCATCAGAGCTAGTTTGTCCAGTTGTTCCCAGTTGTCTTGAACGTACTGAAGTCGGTGGTCAGAGATTTCCTAGTTCCCAGTTCCCAGTTGTTTTGAACGTGGCATATGTCCTCCGGATTTGAGAAGAAAGATGCCAAGTTCAATGGTAAACCTGTCAACTGGGAACTCTGAAATAAACAAGCTCCGACTGGGAAAAATTTTTTTGAACGGTCATCCAACTCGGATTTCCAAGTTGGAAACTCTGGCATCTTTCTAGAGCGCCGACCTCCCGACCTGCAGATCACTGACATCATGATTTGACCTAAAAATGCCAATAAATGTTGTTCTGATTATGAGAGAGACTCTGGTGTGACCCTGTCACTCAAGGAGAGAGCAGTTGCTCCACCAGAGTCGCAAGCATTTTCTTGCTGTTCACTCTGCAGTCTGCATGATAACAAGATGTTGGTGACATGCTGCTTTCCACAAGCATTCTATAATTACACTATTAGTTTGTGTATCTTACTGTCTACAAAATAGTTTGTCTTTCTTAGCAAGTTGTGGCTAAAATAAAGCTTGTTAGCCGCTATTGCAAATTGCTAGTTAGCTGGCTAGCTAGGTTGCTAAATGTACAGTACTAAGAGCAGTGGTGTAGTGAGTGGTATACGTAGGTATACACCTTATACCCGTATACTCACTTCTTAATTACCACGATGTGTATCAACGTAGTATAGTGGAGGTATACGCCATATCAATTAATACGTCTGATGGAACAGATCAGAATGTTTAGCTTAAAATGTTATTATTATTATTTGTAATTATTTTTATATTAACACATACAATCGACTTGCAGTGAAGCCGCTCAACATTTACATTATATTCAGTCATCTAACAGACTCCCATCCAGAGCGACCCACAGAAGCAACCAGGGTCAACGCCCTGCTCAAGGACACGTCAGCCACCGGCCCAAGCTCCCAACCGCCAGGCCACCAGCCCTCCAAGATCCCCCCCACTGTTCCCAGAGAGCTGCCCCTCAACCATCCGAGGCCTATGCACAAATGTTCCAAAATGAAATTAGCGGGAAAACACTGTTCTAAAATGCACACCGCACATGCAAGCGGTTTCATGGACAGAGATGTAAATATGATATCCATTAGAACTAAAATGGGTTGCATTATGACTAGGATAATGCCTTTGGCTGCTAGACAATGAAAGAAAGTTGAAAGAAAAACAATAGAACAGGAGAATAAGTCTTTATAAAAGAATTGCCTCCACGTTTCTATGGTGGGACTTTGGCTATAGGCTACTTTGAAGCCAGGTAAGACATGCCTCATAATATAGTAAAACGTCCAGCTTTAAAAAAATTAAGGAACAGGAAAAATATAACGATGCTAATGATAGGCCTAACCGTCTTCTGGTAGATGGAAAGGCTTTCCCCAAAACCTTCTCTATTAAATGTTAACTAGCTACAAAGTAGCCTATTCCTACCGGACAGAATGATATCATGATTATTTGCATCAATCCAGTAGCCATTTGTTTTGCAAACTCCATCTAATGTGCTACAGAAACACTGCTAACCAAACAACAGTGCTAGGTGCCTACTCACTTGAATTAAAGGGTGACTACACAAAAAAATCTAAATCTATTAGATTATTTTCCAGATGTCAAAAGTGGTCTCCTGAGTTGGTTTAAGCGTTGTTGTGGACTTCGAACATTACATTTAGTTGTTTTTCGATAAAAAAAGTGTGACTTTGAGAGCAAAACCCATATCATGCAGCGCTGTGTGGCACAGTGTGGAAATGATAACAAAAGTGCATTTCGGCAGGTAGCTTAGTGGTTAAGAGTGTTGTGCCAGTAACCAAAAGGTCGCTGGTTCTAATCCCTGAGCCGACTAGGTGAAAAATCTGTCGATGTGCCCTTGAGCAAGGCACTTAACCCTAATTGCTCTTGTAAGTCGCTCTGGATAAGAGCGTCTGCGAAATGACTAAAATGTAAATGCAGGAAATGCAGAAATTGATTAAACTGCTGAAAATATTTATTTTTTGGAAGTTGGATTGAACAGTATGAAACAATTAGAATGGAGAAAGTCCCATTGAAATCACGTATGATGTATGTGTTGCCGCTCTTGGGTCATGAACTACTCATAAAGCATATTTAGAACTTTTATTATTCAAAAACATAAAATACTGTCATACCGTAAAAAATGTGGAAAATATTGTCGTTTGATATTTTGGCCATATCGCCCAGCACTATAACAAACTGTTACATCCAGCATGTTTGTTTCTGTAGTTCTCATTCTGTTGTATCCTTCTCTTCTTAGTGGCGGTCTGAAGGAGCATGATGTCATCATCTCCATCAACGGCCAGCGGATCTCCTCTGCAACCGACGTCAGCACCATCATCAAGAAGGACGCCACGCTGCAGGTGGTGGTCCGCCGTGGTAACGAGGACGCCATCATCACCATTGTTCCCATGGAAATCGACCCCTGACCCCCCAGCCCCACCCATGAGCTGGTGCTCATTACCATCACCAATGGACCTTATATGGACGTGTGTTTTTAATCACGCCCAATGGAGTATCTGTGGCCTTTAGGGTTTTGTGGCGCCATGAATCCGGCCAGGTTAAGACCGCCTTGGAAAGGAACGGTTGTACATGTGTATTATTACACTTTTATTATTGTACGCTTCTACTACTGTTTACTGTTAAACACAAGTCAGTTGACCTGTGTACTCTTAAACACAAGCCAGTTGACCGGTTTACTGTTAAACACAAGCCAGTTGACCTGTTTACTGTTAAACACAAGTCAGTTGACCATTTTACTGTTAAACACAAGCCAGTTGACCTGTTGTGATCTGCTTGTTTTGTGTTTTTTTATACTGACTGATTGTTCAGATGGAGGCCCACCATGGCAATGTAAAACAATGTGGAGAGCAGCTCTGGGCGAGTTGTGCAATTATTGTTTTCTAAATTCCTTTTCTAAGTACTGTAGTTTTATGGTTTGTTGACATTTACAGAGAAGAGAATAAAGACTTGTAACATTGTTTTATGGTCGGAATTTTAATGTTGGAGATCAACATGAAGTGCTCACATCTCTCACTCACAATCTTTTTCAAGCGCTATCTCTCTTTTTCTCTGTATCTCTCTCACTTACACGCACACACACACACACACACACACACACACACACACACACACACTGTGATGGACTGCATCCTGACTGAGATTAGGTTTACAATATTTTATTTGAGTGAGTATGAGCTTTGCCATGACACACACACTCACGAGGAAGACATAAAGTTGATGTGGGGCTGTTTTATATTTAGTTTTACTGCCTCCATAAGGGTTTGATACTGGCCTTGTGTGGCAGTTGGGCCAGGGGCCCTGGCTGTAGGCTGACCTCACAGGGAGGAGAATGGTCCACAAATGTGATCCAGATGAGGTCCTAAGGATGATGAGACACTCACATGAAGACACACTCTACCCAAGTCCTTTCCCCATACATCATGATGCACTCATACTATTAAAACTCCCTGCCATCACTTCATAGGCATAGCCTACAGGCATAACGTAATCATGTAAGAGGACTGGTACACATGGCAGGCAGGTTACGGGTAGGACATGATCACTTATAGTAAACTGGCCTATGTGTGCACTTTGTGTGTTATCATAAATACAAGAATGTATTGAGTATAGGGAACAACATGTTATACTATCCCAGAAAGTGCTGGTTTTCAGTTGATGTAGGCCTAGATTGTACCTGATTTCAGTGGATGAATAACATAAAAAATATGTATCCTTGGGCATAAATGACAGAGACCACTGGAGCCAACCTAGAGCAGTACAGATGTTGTGTCTCAGGATTGTAATCTTCTCAATGCAGTATTCACATGCTACACATCAGAGTAAAATGTATAGGAGAGCGGATCTAACATAATACATTAGATATGTATCAAGACAGTTTGGTAGTGCATTTGAAGAACAGTAAAAAGGAAATGCAGGTTAAGCAACTGCTGCCATCTCCTGGTTCTATGAAGCACCACATCCTTGTACACAGAACGAAAACACTTAATGGAGCAGTCAACGACTTTTTCTGTCTCCATCACACAGATGTTTCAAAGTGTTGCATTGATAGCCTTCACATCACTCTGCAAAAACATTGCTCCAGTGAGGTTGCTAACTGACCCGGAGACAGTGACAACATCACGCACATGTGACTCCGTAAGTGTAGTGGTGTATTCAGCTGTGAAGGGCAGGGTGTGCCTATGTATGAAGTCAACTTATGCTCTGCCAGGGTTTGTGTCCAAACATTCAGTAATAAGGGCCATGACGGCATTAGCTCATGCCTCTAAGTCTTGTCTATTAGCCCTGCTGTGTCAGTATGTGTTAATTGGATTAGATTGGTTATAAACTCAGAGATGGATCTAGATAGAAAATAATGGCCTAGACCTTCTAGTGTAAAAATGAGTCTTTTAAATGTATCTACCTAGACTAAGCATTGTCCATGTCTAACCCAGAAATTGTTTCAGTTTGATCATATAGACCTCAGACTTGTTAGCCTGATGTAGTAGCCATAGGTCAGAGGAACTTATGCAAATACTTTTCTTTGGAGTCTGAAATGACTTTGGGTCAACCATCGCCGTGTGATGTCATGCACATAGCTGAGGTAAACTGACTTCTAGGGGTTATGAGACCTGTGTTTTAGATTAGTCCCCTGGGAATCTCTCCCAGTCACAATGTTCTACACACAGGTGGCTGTTGGCACCTTAATTGGGTAGGTAGTAATGCCTGGAACGGAATAGATGGAATGGTATCGAACACATCAAACATGTGGTTTCCATGTATTTGATAACATTCCATTTACTCCATTCCAGTTTCTGTGATTGTACACCAGAGTCATTACAAAAAAAGCTGTCTTCTCCTTGCTCAGACGTAGGCCTGCAGGCCATTCAATTGTTCCATGTACTTCAAGTCTGAGTAATAGCCAGTGATTCCAGTTTCATACAGTTGGGACCACCTGCCCCAGAGCTGTTCATGAAGCAGTGTTCATTTAAAAACATCTGGATCCCAGTTCAGTGCCAATGCTTATTTGTATTTTAAAATGCTTTTACACATGCTACAACTTTGTTTAGAATTTCACTCAGCGCACAACTATAGGCTGCAGTTGGTAGAACCTGATATTAACTTTATTCATGTTCAGCTTGTTTGCTAATTGTATAATTAATTGATCATATCATATGAATTTGTGAATTATGCATTCTTCTTGTTCTTGTTGCTTTGGTTGAAGAAAGTGCTGCTGTTTTTTAAATATTTTTATATATATATTAGTTTGTCCCCATAACAAGTGTTTTTCTTTTTCATTACCATCTTGTCCAAAGCTGTTCTACCAACTCAACCTATTCCCACCAGCTTGACTAAGGCTGTGTTTACACAGGCAGCCTAAATCTGACTTTTAAACAATGAGATCTGATCTTTTGCCATCGGGCAATTGGACAAAAGATCTGAATTGGGCTCTGGTCTAGCAACTCTCCAGCTCATTACCATCTTGACCAAGCTGGTCTACCAGCTTAACAAGGATAACCAGGCTGGTCAAACAGCTCAACCCAGCTTGTCAACAGTGGCGTGTATTCATGAATGCCAAGGGAGGCCAGGCTTCCTAATTAAAAAAAATTAAAAATAATAATAAGTTATCTTTCGTCTCTCTGTGTTTCATAATTTTCCTTCAATTCGCAAGAGGCTGAATGTATCTCACAGGAGAAAGCATCCGAGCGAGCAAAACAGTGCCCCTCTGTCTCTCTAGGTGTAGGCACACACTGGCTTCCAGTTGAAGCTCGCATCTACTACAAAACCATGGTGCTTGCCTACGGAGCTGTGAGGGGAACGGCACCTCCTTACCTTCACCCAAACGAGGGCACTACGTTCATCCACCTCTGGCCTGCTAGCCCCCTTACCTCTACGGAAGCACAGTTCCCGCTCAGCCCAGTCAAAGCTATTCGCTGCTCTGGCACCCCAATGGTGGAACAAGCTCCCCCACGACGCCAGGACAGCGGAGTCACTGACCACCTTCCGGAGACACTTGAAACCCTACCTCTTTAAGGAATACCTGGAATAGTATAACAGTAATCCTTCTCCCCCACCCCCCCATAAAAAAAATACAAATAAAAAAGGGTGGTTGTCCCACTGGCTATCCTAAGTTGAATGCACCAATTTGTAAGTCGCTCTGGATAAGAGCGTCTGCTAAATGACTTAAATGTAAATGTAGGCCATCTATCTGATGCTGTCTGGTCCAAACGAGTATGACATTGTTGCCACCCATAGCATTGAATGCAAGGGAAGCCAGCGAGCATTTGGCCTCCCTTGACAAAAAAATTATACAAAATTAGCCAATCAGTGTTGAGCTAAATTGAGTGAGCTCAACTGTGAATGGTCCTGGCGCACCAAAAAAAAGTGTCAAGGGAAGCCAGTATGGATTTGGCGTCTCTCCTATCAAATCACATTGAGAGCAAAAGTCATTGACAGAAACAACTTGAATTATTGCATCTCGTTGTGTTGTTGTTCTCCGGTGGCTAGCTAGCTAGCCAGCTAAAATTGTCCCTTTCCTAAATTAGCCATGGACGGAGAAAGGGATTTGGACTTGTGGTATTACTTAATTTTCTGTACTGGCCAATGATTATATCTGCGATTCTGATCCAACAATTAATTCATACATTGTTGTGCCCCTGGCCTGAGAGGATGGAAGTTCAATATGCAGCTAGATGTAGAAGGCTAATGTTAACTAGCTAACGTTGCCCATGAATGGAAGTTAGGCTAGCGAGGAAGCATTTTAGCCAGGTAGCCAAGGACAAAAAATAAATAAAAGCGTGTACTGTTTGACAGAGTGATAGACCATTTCATCAACATGAAAGAGAGAAGGATGGCATTGGCGTTTCTCTATAAGTAAGGTGAGTCAACATGTTTTTTAATTACACACACACTTGCACACAAAAATCAGAATCATGGACAGCCATTATATTTAGCTTACTTTGATTGGACTAAATTGTTTTTGGTATATTTTAGTTGTCACTGTATTAGACTAAGCAGAGGTGATTTGATGATGTTGAAATGTTGAAGTTCAAATGGTGCTGGAATAGTGGAGGCACGCACCGCTACTGCTTGTCAATCAGGTCACCAAGCTCGTCATGTATGACCAAGCTGGTCAACCAGCTAAACTGGATTTTCCTGCAGTGGCAGATTTTTATTTAATCGTCTAAGAAGGACGTTATGATTTACAAACACTTATCTCAAAAGTCCGTTTTTATGATGTTACAGTAGTTGTGTGCTCATTCCACACTAGGGGCAGTATACTTCTGCAGTATACTTCTGCAGAAATGTAGTCGCAAACCCTCTCTTTGCACTCCATCGAAAACACTTTTCTGTAAGTTTTTATCCAATCACACACACGTTTACTGCCACAACTCGTCAAAGTCGCTTGGGTACTACAAAACATTCTATTCGATGATTGGTCAACGGCTATCTTGCGGAGAAGTGACGCAATTGTATTGGCGGCGTCCGAAGGAGGGTAAATTTTAGTGGCAGTCACTCGCACTATAAAATAAATGAAGTCCAGAATTCATAACAATTTCGGTTATCAATGTACCTCTTTAAACGCAGTTTTTTTCCCCTGCTACATTGCGTCGTATTTGTAAAATGTAGCTATCTTTGTTGCACGGAGTTAACGCTTGTTTTGTGTGATTACAGTACGCCGGAGTCAGACTAGGCCCAGCCGGGTTCAGAAGAAGCGCTCACACTGAGTTGAGAGAGGTGTGTTTTTTGGGTGTTTTAAAGCGCATTTCGGACCAGATCTTGTTTTAATATGTAGCTAGCTAGCTATCAATGCTAATTTTGAGAGATACCTTTCGCCACATTTTTGTTACAGAAAAGAACATCTCCAACGTTGCATTTTCAGGCTAGTAAACGTTAACCCGTTAGAAATGTAAACATAGTTAGCTAGCTAGCTACGGTTAACGGTAACTAGCTACTATAATGGCTAATGCTGGTTCTTCGCAGCTGTCCGGCCTTTTTCTACATTGGCCCAATCAACCAGTCAGCCGTGTCATGAGTTGAGCGTTGTTAGCTGACTACGCAACATCGAGCTTATGGTTCATTTCAATTTATAACTAGTTAGCTGGTTAGCTAGCTGTTACTAGTGCTAAAAAGATCATCATAGGTTGAGATCAGTGTTGAAAGGATAACGTTAGGTTGCTAACTAGAGCTGGGATAGCTAAATAGCCGACTAAACTCAACTTCTCGTTGAGCTTAGTCGGCTAACTAGATGCTGTAGGTAGCTAACATGGTTTTATTGAATCCATCATTGCAATGACCCCCATCACACCTCAATTATTAGCAACATAATCTTGAACCTCAGCGGTAGAGCTAAAGCTGATAGTCGTTTGATTTAATCAGTTACTCAATTATAATCTGTATTCAGGGGAAAACATCTAATCTATTTTGCAGGTAGGCCTACACACCATCCACCAGCTTTGCATGAGATAAATATTGATCTAGCTAAATAACGTTATTGTTTTTTCGTGTTACACCCACAGAGAATATGTAACATACATCAACATGACATCCAGATTTGGTAAAACCTACAGCCGTAAGGGAGGGGAGGCCAACTCCAAATTTGACGAGGTCTTCTCCAACAAGAAGGCCACACTGAGCACCAAATGGGGAGAGACCACTTACAAGGCCCAACTGGGCTCCAAGCGGCCCCCTCTGAAGCCTGAGGTAGTCGAGTTACCCAAGAGGCCTCGGATTGAGGATGACGACAGCTCAGAGGATCCTTTTGGTTTTGACAGCGACGATGAGTCCAACCCTGTCACCTCCAACAGTGTGCCCCAGTCTGAACCAGCTGAAGGTGAGGCCAGTAATACGCCTTCTGCTACAGTCACAGTCCCAGTGGATAACAGTAGGAACTCCAACAGCACAGCATCAGGTAAGAACTGGATGGCAGATAACTGTGATGACTGACTTTGCTTTAAACATTACAGACATGTTTTCATGGGAGGAGGTGCTCGGAAGTCTAGCATGAACCTGTCTGTCTTAAAGTGGAAGTGTTTTGCAGCACCAACCACCTTCAGTAGAGCTGATGTGTGTCTGGTGGAAACATGTTTCCACAGGTGGTTGTAGAATAATTGTATGTATACATTAGCTAAAGAACATCATGCATGTCTCTTGTATTTCACTTTATTTATTTATTTATTTATTATGGAAGGAAAACTGCTTCTCATGATCCTGGTGATAATGGTTATGAGGAGAGCGGTGGTGTGTGGATATTTCTGGAGCAGATAAAATGAAGGGCTCCCTCGTGGGCTTTTTACTCTCTGCTGGCAGCTTCTGTATCAGCTTATCTCGTCTTTGTCCCTGACAGCTCTCTAAAGATAAATCAGGCTTTTACTGCAACACTATCATCTCAGTAGGCCTGTACCACTTTCATTTAGAATAAAACTGATTAGAAATTATACAAACCAAACAATGCTGAACAAAATCTGAAACTGTATTATTTTACAATGCTTGTGTAAAACTTATAATGCTTCCTTCTGTTAACTTGCTCTTTCATCTCCTTTGTGCTCACAGGCAAGCAAACATTGTCCAATGAGGGTGAAGAAAAGAGTAGCCAGTCCTTGTACAGAAATAAATTGGATGGTAACCAGAAGCCTATTGCTCAGTCCTCTGTTACAATGACTGTGCCCATGGACCCCTATGTGGAATGGAGCTTAATAGGGACCCAGAGGTCTTCTACCTCCTCTACTAGCATGGACCCTCTCCAGGAAAAAGACTCAGCTGAGACACCAGGGTTTAGCGGAGACTCCCAGTCCTTCTCTTCCCAGGATGGGCTCTCCTCAGGTGGGATGAGAAGTGCTCAACAGGAGGCCCCGGCCGAGCCTGTTGTTGACAACCTCCCCCCCTCCCCGTTCCTCCTCAGGCCCTCCAACACTAGGAAATACATCCGTCCCAAACCCAACAAGGCCTCTGATGTTCCAGATGCTTCTGCTGCTAGCGACGTCAAACTGCCCATAGCCGCCAGCGTTCTGGCTGCACTGAAGCCCAACAGTGTGTCCACTGCCAGTGGTAGCGGTGGTGTTAAAGCTAGCACAACGGCGGCCAAACCTGCTGGCAGGGGTCGGATACGGGACTATACGGTGCTGCATCCATCCTGCCTGTCGGTGTGTAACGTCACCATCCAGGACTCCATAGAGCGCAGCATGGACGAGCTCATCACCAGCACACCCCCTGCTGACCTGGGGGAGGCGGGACGGCTGAGGAAGAAGGCAGACGTACCACCAGCCAAACCCACCAGGTAAACGACTCCACTGGCTGTGGCCCAGACAGTACACTAACTCTTGCCTCCCACTGGTGCTTCATGCTTGATACTGCTTGCTTGATATTGTACAAATTTACATTTACCGTTGAGCACGTAATATCCCTTCTTATACTCACTTACTTTAGCTCGCCCCTATAATTGTTTTCTATATGTGGTTTACCAAATGTTTCTACTACACCGAGACCTAGGTCAATCTGTTCTCGATTAAGCACCACTTCTGTTTAAGAACACACTTGAATCCTTTTTCTATGTTTTCGTGTGTTCCACGGCAGCTGCTGATTTGAAATTAAATGATTCTCCTCTTGTAACCGTCAGGTTCCGAACCACCCAGAGTAAGTCCAAGAAGGAGACCAAGCTGGAGTTCTTCGGCTTCGAGGACAAGGGTGACCAGGAGGGGGAGGAGGGAGCGGACCCCGCGGCCGGCGGCAGCAGCAGCTACAAGATCAAGTACTTTGGCTTTGACGACCTCAGCGAGAGTGACAGTGACGAAGAGGAGGGCTCCCAGGCCAAAGAGAAGCGGAAGGCCAAGAAGGCTGCAGCAGCAGCCATGGCTGCTAGTGTGGACAGCCCCCAGCCCAGCGACTCTCAGGACAGCCAGAGCAGCAGCAATACAGGTGATATATACTGTTGATGTTTGTGTTCGTCTATAGGTAATAAAGATGTTAGCCTATCTCACCTGTTTTTCATACAGCTGTCTCATAGACAGTCAAAATATCAAATTGTATTTGTCACATGCTTCATAAACAACAGGTGTAGACTAACAGTGAAATGCTTACTTACGGGCCCTTCCCAACAATGCAGAGAGAAAAAAAGAAATTATAGAAAAATAATAAGAAGGAATAGATCCATAATGAGTAACGATAACTTAGCTATATACACGGGGTACCAGTACCGAGTCTATGTGCAGGGGTACGAGGTAATTGAGGTAGATATGTACATATACAGTGGCAAGAAAAAGTATGTGAACCCTTTGGAATTTCCCGGATTTCTGCATAAATTGGTCAGAGAGACAAACAGTCTGCTTAAACTAATAACACACAAACAATTATATGTTTTCATGTCTTTATTGAACACACTGTGTAAACATTCACAGTGCAGGGTGGAAAAAGTATGTGAACCCTTTGATTTAATAACTGGTTGACCCTCCTTTGGTAGCAATAACCTCAACCAAATGTTTTCTGTAGTTGCGGATCAGACCTGAACAACGGTCAGGAGGAATTTTGGACCATTCCTCTTTACAAAACTGTTTCAGTTAAGCAATATTCTTGGGATGTCTTGTGTGAACCGCTCTCTTGAGGTCATGCCACAGCATCTCAATCGGGTTGAGGTCAGGACTCTGACTGGGCCACTGCAGAAGTCGTATTTTTTTTGTTGAAGCCATTCTGTTGATTTACTTCTGTTTTGGGTTGTTGTCCTGTTGCATCACCCAACTTCTGAATTGGCAGACAGCCTTACATTCTCCTGCAAAATGTCTTGATAAACTTGAATTCAATTTTCCGTCGATGATAGCAAGCTGTCCAGGCCCTGAAGCAGCAAAACAGCCCCAAACCATGAAGCTCCCTCCACCAAACTTTACAGTTAGGATGAGGTTTTGATGTTGGTGTGCTGTGCCTTTTTTTCTCCACACAGTGTTGTGTGTTCCTTCGAAACAACTCAACTTTAGTTTAATCTGTCCACAGAATATTTTGCCAGTAGCGCTGTGGAACATCCATGTGCTCTTTTGCAAACTTCAGACGTGCAGCAATATTTTTTTTGTACAGCAGTGGCTTCTTCCATGGTGTCCTCTCATGAACACCATTCTTGTTTAGTGTTTTACGTATCGTAGACTCATCAACAGAGATGTTAGCATGTCCCAGAGATTTCTGTAAGTCTAGCTGACACTATAGGATTCTTCTTAACCTCATTGTGAATTCTGCACTGTGCTCTTGCAGTCATCTTTGCAGGATGGCCACTCCTAGGGAGAGTAGCAACAGTGCTGAACTTTCTCCATTTATAGACAATTTGTTGTACTGTGGACTGATGAACATCAAGGCTTTTAGAGATCCTTTTGTAACCCTTTCCAGCTTTATGCAAGTCAACTATTCTTAATCTTAAGTCTTCTGAGATCTCTTTTGTTCAAGGCATGGTTCAAATCAGGCAATGCTTTTTGTGAATAGCAAACTCACATTTTGTGAGTTTTCTATAGGGCAGGGCAGCTCTAACCAACATCTCCAATCTCGTGTCATTGATTGGACTCCAGGTTAGCTGACACCTGACTCCAATTAGCTTTTGGAGAAGTCACTAGCCTAGGGGTTCACATACTTTTTCCAACCTACACTGTGAATGTTTAAATGATGTATTCAATATAGACAAGACAAATACAATATTGTGTGTTATTAGTTTAAGCACACTGTGTTTATCTATTGTTGTGACTTAGATGAAGATCAGATCAAATTGTGACCAATTTATGCAGAAATCCAGGTAATTCCAACGGGTTCACATACCTTTTCTTGCCACTGTAGGTCGGGATAAAGTGAATAGGCTGTTGGATAGCTAATAAACGGTAACAGCAGCGCATGTGATGAGTCAAAAGTTAGTGCAAACATGGTCAATGCAGATAGTTAAATAGTTCACCAATAGCTACCCCGGACTAACTATTTAGCAGTCTTATGGCTTGGGGGTAGAAGCTGTTCAGGGTCCTGTTGGTTCCAGACTTGGTGCATCGGTATCACCTGCCGTGCGATAGCAGAGAGAACAGTCTATGACTTGGGTGGCTGGAGCCTTGGACAATTTTTAGGGCTTTCCTCTGATACCGCCTGGTATAGAGGTCCTGGATGGCTGGGAGCTCTGCCCCAGTGATGTACTGGGCCGTACGCACTACCCTATGTAGTTCCTTGCTGTCGGATGCCAAGCAGTTGCCATACCAAGTGGTGATGCAGCCAGTCAAGATGGTCTCAATGGTGCAGCTGTAGAACTTTTTGAGGATCTGAGGACCTATGCTGAATCTTTTCAGCCTCCTGAGGGTGAAGAGGCGTTATCGTGCCCTCTTCACAACTTTGTTGTTGTGTGTGTGGACAATGGTAATTCCTTAGGCTCATGCTTTGCTTAGTCAGTTTGCCTACACCATGTCACTGGATTTCTATTGTACATCTATTTCCATCATGTTGATTCCACTGTTAACCTTATTGTGCTTTTTCCCCACTCTCAGATATTCTGGAGTTTTCTGATGACTCTAACCTTGGTGGGTCTGAAGAGCAGAAGGGTCGCTCAGGAAAACAGGGGGATACATCCAAGGAAATTTGCAGGAAGATCTTCAGTGGGCCCAAAAAGGTGAGGGAGTAGTGTTGCACATTTCCATCCATTTTGCTGCCAACTAACCTACCCTCATTAACCGGTCAACAAACAGTTAAATTTTTTCCAAACAGTAAAATTAGGTGACCAACAGAAAATAGCCTACTATGCATGCATACAAGGAACGGATATTAGCAAGCCTAACATATTATTGAACATTAAACTCTTGTAATGAAACGGCTAATAAAACGTAATTAAACATTTGCCAAAATGCAATTAGCGGGAAAACACAGTTCTAAACAGTGCACCTAATGCGAGTGTTAGAAACTTAGAAAAATTGGGAATCTAATAGCAGCAACTACGATGGGTTGCTAATATGACTAGGATTGTGCCTTTGGCTTCTGGGCTAACGAAAGAAAGTTGATATGAAAACCAATATAACAGGAGAGAAATTATAATGGCATGAGGAGGTCTTGAGATATAGATATAGTATATATATAGAGATAATATATAGTATATATATATATATATATATATAAATATATATATATATAGATATATATATATATATATATAGATGATACTATATATAACACATACATACATACACACACACACACACACACACACACCACACCACACACACACACCACACACACACACACACACACACACACACACACACACACACACACACACACACACACACACTGGGGCAAAAAAGTATTTAGTCAGCCACCAATTGTGCAAGTTCTCCCACTTAAAAAGATGAGAGAGGCCTGTAATTTTCAACATAGGTACACGTCAACTATGGCAGACAAATTGAGAAAAGAAAATCCAGAAAATCACATTGTAGGATTTTTAATGAATTTATTTGCAAATTATGGTGGAAAATAAGTATTTGGTCACTCACAAACAAGCAAGATTTCTGGCTCTCACAGACCTGTAACTTCTTTAAGAGGCTCCTCTGTCCTCCACTCATTACCTGTATTAATGGCACCTGTTTGAACTTGTTATCAGTATAAATGACACCTGTCCACAACCTCAAACAGTCACACTCCAAACTCCACTATGGCCAAGACCAAAGAGCTGTCAAAGGACACCAGAAACAAAATTGTAGACCTGCACCAGGCTGGGAAGACTGAATCTGCAATAGGTAAGCAGCTTGGTTTGAAGAAATCAACTGTGGGAGCAATTATTAGGAAATGGAAGACATACAAGACCACTGATAATCTCCATAGATCTGGGGCTCCACGCAAGATCTCACCCCATGGGGTCAAAATGATCACTAGAACGGTGAGCAAAAATCCCAGAACCACACAGGGGGACCTAGTGAATGACCTGCAGAGAGCTGGGACCAAAGTAACAAAGCCTACCATCAGTAACACACTACGCCGCCAGGGACTCAAATCCTGCAGTGGCAGACGTGTCCCCCTGCTTAAGCCAGTACATGTCCAGGCCCGTCTGAAGTTTGCTAGAGTGCATTTGGATGATCCAGAAGAGGATTGGGAGAATGTCATATGGTCAGATGAAACCAAAATATAACTTTTTGGTAAAAACTCAACTCGTCGTGTTTGGAAGACAAATAATGCTGAGTTGCATCCAAAGAACACCATACCTACTGTGAAGCATGGGGGTGGAAACATCATGCTTTGGGGCTGTTTTTCTGCAAAGGGACCAGGACGACTGATCCGTGTAAAGGAAAGAATGAATGGAGCCATGTATCGTGAGATTTTGAGTGAAAACCTCCTTCCATCAGCAAGGGCATTGAAGATGAAACGTGGCTGGGTCTTTCAGCATGACAATGATCCCAACTCACCGCCCGGGCAACGAAGGAGTGGCTTCGTAAGAAGCATTTCAAGGTCCTGGAGTGGCCTAGCCAGTCTCCAGATCTCAACCCCATAGAAAATCTTTGAGTTGAAAGTCCGTGTTGCCCAGCGACAGCCCCAAAACATCACTGCTCTAGAGGAGATCTGCATGGAGGAATGGGCCAAAATACCAGCAACAGTGTGTGAAAACCTTGTGAAGACTTACAGAAAACGTTTGACCTGTGTCATTGCCAACAAAGAGTATATAACAAAGTATTGAGAACCTTTTGTTATTGACCAAATACTTATTTTCCACCATAATTTGCAAATAAAAAATCCTACAATGTGATTTTCTGGATTTTTTTTTCTCATTTTGTCTGTCATAGTTGGCGTGTACCTATGATGAAAATTACAGGCCTCTCTCTTCTTTTTAAGTGGGAGAACTTGCACAATTGGTGACTGACTAAATACTTTTTTTCCCCACTGTATGTATGTGTATATATATATATATATGAAAGTTGGATTTCGCTAGGCT